GCAAGGAATAAAAACTGTCAGTAATCAATTGACATTCTGATATAGTGACCAGTTGTACAAAAAGCACTCCATAGCTGGTAGCTTAAAAAAAGCAGGGAAGTCAGGAAGAAATAAGCCCCTTTCTTTTGTTTTCTTCTTCACTTGGTTAAACATCCTTAACACAGCCTACAAGATGTTCCCTTGTGCTTTTGAAGGCCTGCTGCTGGTGTGCCTAAATACGTTGTATTAACCAGTGCCAACAGACCTACATTCATGTGTGGTCTTGCAGCAGCAGATACAAGAAGGCACAAACTCAAGTGCAATCGTTGGGTGCCAGATGTGTTGAGGGTAACATTTACCTTGCTTTGCACAGGACCAGTCACAGTAATGGCAAGAGAAGCAACATCTTCAGCTACCATTTTTGTAAACATAACACCACCTTATTACCTACCCAGCCAGCAGTTTTGCATGCACTTTTGGTAAGGCTTTGTCAAACAGCCTTTCACACAAGGTAAGAGTATTTTCCAGGCCACATCCACTGTGATCTCTTTTTAATGTTGAAATTAACCCACTCCAGTCAGGAAGACGGATGATCAGGCTTGACAGCATGCTGGAGAAAAGCTCCTGGGCATCTGCTCCAGGCTTTCAAATCAGCTCATTTGGGAGCCTTAAGAATTAGGATAGCTTACCCCAGCCATCTCAGTTCATAAGGAGTACTTTAATAATGCTCTTTCTCATGCACAGTTAAGTTCATCCATTTCACCACTTTCATCTACAACGGTCACTAAAATACATTCCCCTATTCAACAGAACCATACCAGCTCACACTTGGATGTAATTTACCTGCAGCTCAAGGCTTCTGTGCCCAGCTTTGCTTGAAGACTCATTGTAAATTAAGGAAATTTGAAAGCTGGGCAGGAAACCAACAGTATTCTATCAAAAGGAAACAAGAAAAGTATACTCCACCCCAGAAACATGTTTGCTTATTTTAGCAACAGTCCTGTTGTCAGTATGAAAATACTTGATGACTGATGCTGTTTACTAAAGGAGTTGCAGCAGTACAAGGCGGCCCAACGATGCCCAGGATCTGATCACCCTGAGCACATCTCAGAGGAGCAATGCAGAACCTGTCATGTTCATACACGCATGCCCTTCCAAGTGCAACAGCTCTGTAGTCTAAAAGTGAATAGACTGACAACTCTCAACAGTAAATCCTACCCTTGGGGAAACATACTATACTGCTTCTAGAGCCAAACAGGACTGGCTGCAGCCATGCCTGTCTCCAGACCCACACGGCTCGCTGTTCTAGGTTCTTAAGTGAAGACAGGCAAAGCAGGACAATCAGTAGCACCATAAGGATCCTCTTACGGTAATGCAAACGTTTAATGTAAAAGAACATCTTATTAAAGTGCAAAAATATGAAAATAAACCTCTGCGCAGTCCTTCGTTCTGTGATAGATTCCTTCTCATTTGTCTCCTGCAGAACACAGAAACAGGTTGTTCAGTTCCAGAGATGTTTATAATGAAGTTAAGTTCTCTCCTGGGTTTCGGGCAACGGTACAAGGTTAGCAGGCCCAGGTTACAGAATGCTTATTTTATTAGGAACTTCATCATCTCCAATGGAAGGAAGGTGATAAATCACAAAAATGCCTGTTATTCTCAGGATTTGTGTCTCTGAGGGTGCTTTTTCTTTCCCTCTACACTGGACTCACTGCATTCTCCATCAGAGGGTGCAGGTCTGTTTCTACATCTCATCTCTCCTTAGGGCGCTCCCAGGGCAAACAAGACTAAACTCAGATTAGCTTTATGCCACCAAGCTTCCATTTTTCCCTCCTTGTTTCATCAATAAATCAGAAAAGTATCTGTGACTGAAATTCTTAAGCCATTCAAACACAGGACTTATTTTTGCCATTTTTACACAAACTAAATTCTCACGCACCAAGGAAGGGCTGGAGAATCCAGCTGATATTTACCTAAACATAGAAGTATTTTTGCCTTCAGCTATTGATAAAGCATTAAAATATCACAGGACCCGTTTCCTCTCTAACATACTGCACCATTTGAATTTGGTGCCTTGGCCATGAACCAACATTATAACTGTTATCGTTATGGTGCCTTTACACTGGGGCTATACTACATTACCTGGGAAAAACATTAATATCACATTAGCAGTAACCAGCAGAGACTAGTGATTCTTTACATACTGCACTGTTTTACAGCACGGGCTCATTTTCTATCCCATTGGGTGTTTGAGTCTTTAAATATTTCAATGCTTCAAACAAATTTTTGCCATCCAAGCACTACATGCAACATTTATTATTCTAGCTCTACATGTCTACTTCAGAAGCATGGCTTTTAAACATTAAATACAAACAAGAAGGATTACATCAGTGTCCCACGTCCTTAAGTTTTTCCTCCGGACTTCCAACTGGAAGGAATCTGGAGACAAAAGGTCTTCTTGTGAGAAGAAATCAAAGAGGACCACATGCAGTCCACAGTTCCAGGCTGATGATACTATATATTCTTTCCCATATGTGCTATATCAATCCTATAGAGATTCTCAATTCCTTTTCTACTCCAGCGTGTGGAATTTGCAGCTTATAACCCTAGCATAGCTATTCAGGCTGGCATTTAGTCAATGAGAACCTGTCTTAATTGATTTGTAACCCAAGAAGAAACTCCTAGAATTATTAAGAAGACCATTCAGACCAATGGAGCTTGAGGTGGATCTCGCTGCAGGTAGTGTGATCCGAATGTCAGAAAAATACTAAGCCTGAAGGAAAGGCCCTGAACTTGTATGCCCAAGTACACTGCCATTAACTTTAGCCATTGAAGGTGCATCAGCTCACCAATATCACACTAAAAGTGAAAGGCTGTCCAAAGAATTACTTGTTAAATTGCTGTTTAAAAGTGGCATAATTAGTGCTATCCTTAGAGTAGTGTTTTCAAAAGAGGTTGTATGCCAATTACTGAGCTACTGCCACAAAGCCTCTTTCCCTGAGATAACCCTCTCAATATAACTCAAAGCCAGAACATGTTTTTCTCAGTTTACCTGTGACTATAGCTGCACATCAAACCCAAGTATCTTTAAATGGAGCACTTCTTCAGTATCTATTTCAGTTCTACAACCAAATTCCTCTCCTTTCAAAGGGAATCCTCCACAAATTAGGAACATTCCTATACATGTATTAATTCAATATCTGCTGGCGCTACTTAGCTTGCTTGCAGGAGCCAGCAAATACAGTTTGACAAGAAGCCTAACATTTATTTGGAAAATCCCAAATAGCCCAGAGAGTTTCCTTGTGGGTCACATTAGTATCCAATCAAACAAAACTGAGAAGGGGAAACCAAACCTCAAAGTAGGCACTACAGGTTTAAGTGTTTGTGCTGTGGGCATCCCAAAGCATCTTGAAGGCAGGCAGGCTGGCCAAGGAGAGGCAGGCATAAGGTGTCGGGATGTTTCCATGCTGCTCCCCCATTGGACAACACTGCCCTGCCAGATGAGGAGAAATGAGACCCAGCCCTCATCTCCTCACAGAGATGGACGTCAGAAGAGGTTGACGGCCTCACGGTAGAACTGAATCACACAGCATTTATATGTGACAGCATCACATCACAGCAGTGATGTGAGAAGACTCAGGCTTCTGAAATTGAGTCACTTCCCAAAGATTCCTCTAATATCTCTGCACCGTGCATCACTTCCTAAAAGGCTTCATCTAGAAGCCTGTATTTACGGCAGCCCTCGGGACTTGCCGAGCATTTGGAAATTGCGTGCCGTCATTTTACCTGTGCTGTCCAGCACCACACTGTGACGACACATTCTAAACAAAGGGGGAAAAACAGGAAGAAACAGAGCAAAGCCCCTGCTGCAAGATCCCCTCCGTCTCCAAGCCTCACGCGATTTATAGCACCAAGGTCTTGGCACAGAAAGCCATCAGAGAAATTCAGCGTTCAGTGGAGAAAATTATTCACAAACTCAGACAGTTCCGAGAAAAGCCTTAGCTAGACGCTGTTAGGAGATTAGAGGAGCAGCATGAATCTGATGAGATGTTAACATTTCAGTTTTTAAGAAGAGAACAGCATTCTCCGAGGGAATGGGCAGTGCTTACTGGAGGGAGAATGCAGCTTCCAACCTCTTCTGTAGGAAAGTTGCTGAGAAAAACAAACTATGGAAATCCCTCACCATTCTGTGTGAAGACATGTTCTTATCAAAGATGGTGTTTTGTTTTGGTTTGTTGTTTTTTTTTTTTTCCTCAGTAACATCTCCTAATTGAAAATAATTGAAAATCATTCTTGGGATAATTTGGGTTTTTAGCTGCTTATCAACAGGGTTAATTGCCTTTGCCTTTTCGGAACAAACCGTCTGGTTTTTAATTAATTAAATCATCTCACCTCGTCTTCAAAAGGAACTCGACCCGCATATTCTCAGTCACGCGGGAAGTTCTTAATCCCCAAAGTAACCCACCGAGGTCCACGGAAGATGGCACGACTCCGAGCTGTGAGAAACCCAGTCCTGCCCAGGTGGCAGCAGATTCCCAGCCCCCCCGCACGGCTGCAAGGAGCAGCTTTTGCTAAGTCTCGAAGTGAAAGAATCTGGGTAACGCTAACGCACATTTGCACGCAGTTGTGAAATGCGAGGCGCTTCCCACTCCACAATTTTCCTAGAGAAAGACCTGGCTACAGTTAGCTATGAGAGGAAAAAAAATAACAAAAACCCGGCACTGCCCACCTTCAGCCCTCAAAATGGCAAACTCCCTCCCCACTTGGGAGGCATCTTCCCACTCGCTCCGGGCTCTGCCCTCCCGGAGACCCCGCAGCTCCTCTCGCACGGCGCCCCCCGGGCCGCCTCCCGCCCGCGGTCTCTCCCCACAGCGGGCACAGCGCGGGGCCGTCCCGCCGCACCTGCCGCCCGCACGAGGCTCCGCTCGGGACGCGGGGGCGCAGCCCAACGGCGGCCGCCCCGCACCTGGGGGCTCGAAGCCCCTCCGCGCCAAACCGCCCCTCCGTCCACGGTCCCTTACCGTTAGACCTTCGCACGATGTTCTCCAGGAACGTGTTTTGAGGCGCCACCAGCCCTCTCCTTCCCCCGGCCATAGTCGCTCTGCGGGAGCGCGGCGCAGAGGCTTCGCTCAGGGCCTCGCGGAGCCGCGCTCTGCAGCTCCGCTCCCCGCCCGCTCCGCGCGCCTCATGCCTCCGCCGGGACCGTGGCACGGCTGTGCGGCATCAGCCCTCCCGCCGCCTCCCGCGCACCGCAGCCCCGCGGTCGCCGCCGCGCCGCCGCCGGACCTCCCCGCGGCGCCCCCTGCCGGCCGCCGCTCCGCCGCGCCGCCCCGCCACAAGGCCGGTGCCGCAGCGCCACCGTCCGGAAGCGGGCTGCCCAACAGCGCCGACAACTGTAGCGCAGCGAGGGGAAGCGGCGGCCCTCGTGGGGCTCTGCCCTGCAGGGATGGCGGCCCCGCCGCGTCCGCGCCTCGCGGGCCGAGTGCTTGAAAGCTCCTCTCAAACTGAGAGCGGCGGGAGGAACCTCCGCCTATCGCAGAAACGCGTTGGTGCCACCTGGGACCCCCCGGGGGGCTTTGCCCTCAGAGCACGTGGCTCAGCCCCTCGGCAGGCTGCCCGCCCTCGTTTCACCTCTTCCTAGGACACTTTCTACTCCTGTGTGATCAAACTAACAGCAGCTCAGTGGAAGCAATAGGATAAGCTATTTAAATATAACCTTTGACAGGTCTTAAACTCTCAAGTATTCGATTTACAAAGGTTTTTCAGTCAAGGAGAAAACTACTTTGTTCCTTCCCTTTCGGCCGTCTATCAGTAAATGGAAAGCACTCAGATCTCTTTAAAGACAGATCTCCTGACTGGCCCTGGCAGCTGCTTGCCGTAATGCCTCGTTAGCTGCAGCACCTCTGTGCTCTGCATCACATCACATTTCCAAGACATGAATATGTTTTGCAAAATCCTGTGTATGGCAAGAACCTGCTCCTATTTCCCACAGTACAAGCAGATAAAGCAAGGCTGGGGCACCTGGCTCCTGTGCTGGAGGACAGGCCTGGCCTGTGCCACAAGGCCTGCGCTTGTGACCCAAAGGTGACCGTGGGACAGCAGCCCATTGCCACCAGCCTCCTGCCACTCTCAATGTTTGAGGCACAGGATGCACACTAGGACTGTAGGGAGCCAAGCCACGGAGGTGGATGGCAGCTTACTTGCAGCAGGATCTGCAGATTCAGCCACAGACCAACCTAGCACTGGCTGCCTGTCTCACAGCTGGAGCCTATGGGGCTGCTAAGAGCACGGCTCAGGAAGTAGCCCTGCAGTGGGAGCCACTTTATTAACATTCATTTGTTCTAATAGCCATCCCTGGCCTGACTGCAATCAAGACAGGTTAGGAGAGCATCCGAAGTTGTAATTAGTCTACTAATATTCCCTGAACTTGGTATTTTGAAAATCCCCGTGGAAATGTTCGTTTGCATTTTTATACACCTGATTCAGCCCCCAACAGCTGTGCCTACAAAGTCTCAGGTTGTTCTGTTCCTGACAGCTTCAGCAGCACGGGACTAACTGACCATTAAACTTACCATTTCCCCAGGAAAATCATGATGTTACCTTTGATACTGAGTTTATACAGCTCCTAACAAGTAAGATTGCGGTTTTGAAAAACTAGGATCTTCAAAGGTTTTCATTACTCCTCTAAGCCACTGTGCCAGAGGGCGCGCGATCTCAGCACCCACAGGGCTCGGCAGGAATCTCTCTAGGTCTTGGAGACATCTGGCAGCTGGCATGCATTGCAGAAATGCTGAAGCCTTTGGAAAAAAATGTTACACTGAATCAGCATGTACACAGTAGAAGGAGCAAGGGGACACAGGGTAAGGAGGAAAAGCCGTGTATCTTCTGGATTTCCGTGAAGTGGCTGCACTTTGTGTTGTATTCTTTCCCCCATTCATTCATCCATTTTATGTGGGGGGAAAAAACGGGTCCAGCCTCTGATTTCCTAGCTCAGATAATCAGGCTGTCCCACTAATTCCATGCCAAAGCTGTCATTTTAGCTAGGTTGAAGTTAGACCTACCTTGCCATCACATTGCAAATAAGTAAGATATCAAACACAAAATTTCTTGTTTATCATCTTCTACCTCCTTTAGTCTTTCTCCCCACCGCAAAATATGATTCCAGCTCGTGATATGATGCTTTCACCACAGAGCAGGGGGATGCTGTGTTAGTGTTTCACTGTGACTATTTTGTATTCTATACTCATTTCCTTTCTGGTAAATTCTGCAAGTAGCACAAAGTCAGAAGCAAGACCCCATTTGAGGTAGCACACACACATTGTCTTTCTGATTCATTTTTACATGGATGAGACCTCTTCTTCTCCTATTTTTTAAAGATGAAAAATCAGATTTCTTAATCTGCTTGTTTGCTGAAGCCTGTTGGACAGAAATTGATGCGTGACGTTTCAAGTAACACTAATACGATCAGCAAACTATGACATCTTACCATCCATTAGAGGGCACATTCAGCTCTATACTACTATTATGCTCTCACAGTATGGTTGTTGTTTTTTTTCCTGAAAAAGCCCCTAGTTCATCCTCTAGCTGCAGAGCCTTAAGCTGCTTTTCTGCAGTCCCTTTGAGCAGCCGTTTGTTCCAAAACAAAGTAGAAACTTGCCTTCACCTAAACCATGTCCATTTGTCACCTACTTGAACTGAAAACCATCCTGACTGGAAAACTCAGCACCAGTGGTAAATGAGGAAACCCAGCTGAAACCTCCATTTTAAGCAGCAATTCATACAATAGCATTCATAGCAATGCAAAGTCATAACAAACTACCAACAGCCTTGAAAATTAAAAGAACACTGGATCTTAAAATTGAGTTATATTCGCATACTACCATATAGATTTCATGACCCTGTCAAAAACAAAATAAATTATGTGATAGGATAACAAAGTACAGAAGGTAGTGCACAGGTTAGTCTGCCATACAGACGTTTAAAAAAATACATCACACAAAATCAGTGAAGCATTAATTAATCCACAAATTCTTACCCCCAGAGTTTACAGGCTGAAGCCTGTAAACTATCAAATACATGGGTGCTTAGTTACTTGTGATTAACACTACTTGTTATGTTATAGAAAGAGCAAAGAGGAGCAGAAGTCATGCCTTAAAACAAAGGTGAGTCCAGAGTATAAGAAATACATGCATGACTTCCAAAAAGGTATTTGGGAAAAACATCTGGGCATCTAACTGAAACTGTTCAGTCTATTTCTGCAAGTCATTTTAACCAAGGTGCTCCAGACATTGCTGCATTTCAGCCTGAGGTTCCTAAGGTCTGATTATTTCTGCTCTCTAAAATTAAATGAAATCTCTAACTCAGAGAAATAACCTAGTTGTGCAGCAGACTGTAGGTCTGAGAACTGAGGAATGTAAGTGCTCTCAAACAGCCATAATAAATTTGTCAAAAATTAAGTATGGACTTACCCAATTATGGAATTACTGAATTTCCTCCAGACTTTTTATGGGGAATAAATATGGAAAGATAACTATGAAATCCTATGTTCTGAGTGGATAATTCTTGAAATAAAACTGATGAGAGAGTACACAGCCAGTCTTTTATTTATATGCGTAGCATTTGGAGTGTGGGCTAACAGGAAAGTACTGTTCCTTCTTAGAACTGCTCAAAAGGGCATAGAAAATTTTTCCCTATTTGGACAGTATGCCAATCTTCATTTATTTCAGCAGGAGCTGACACACAGTCCTTCTAGATTGAGAAAAAAAATAAGAATAGAAGCATCCTGACTGTAGGTGTACTTGGCCAAACCTCTTGGCTCTAACCTGTCCTGCCCATGTGGTCTTCCCCAGTCTCAGATCAGAGGCAGTGACCAATAGAAGCGCTCTTACTCAGAGGAGAAAAATAAATTATCTGCATTTCGTTTGGTTCCATGTTTGGTAGGCTTTTTGTTAACATTTTAATTCTGTATTTTAGTTTTCTTGGATTTGGATTTGTGTGTATGGGTCAATATAAATCAAGGCAAATGGAAGACAATTAGATGCAGCTTGCTTAAACTCCAAGAAAATGCGGGGGATTTCACTAAGTAATTGCAGTAAAGATTTCTGTTTGCATGCCCTGAGAGATGCTTAGGAACCCATGATTTTGGGTGAATGTTTTTTCTTAAGAAATAGGGAACACAGTAGCCTCCTTGCATTTTAGGCAATGCAAGCTTCGTAGGCTCTCTGTAGACAATGTAGGCACTAGCATGGTAAGTTATGTGTGCAGACAGGGAGAACTCCTCGAGAGAAACCCTGCAGAGATGGATTTGGCATTTCTGCTGGCAAAAAGCTTGACGTGAGCCAGTAGTGTGTGCTCAGCCCACAAGCATCCCAGACTGCATTAAAAGAGAGGTGGCCAGCAGGATGAAGAAGGTGACTCTCCCCCTCTACCAGTGTGGCAACATCTAGAGTACTGCATCCAGGTCTGGCTCCCTCACCACAAGATAGGCATGGAGCAGGCCCAGAGAAGGCCATGAAGATGAACAGAGGACTAAAGTACCAATCCTACAAGACAGACTGAGAGAGATGGGTTGTTCAGCCTGAGGAAGAGAAGACTCCAGGGAGACCTCATTTCATTTTTTCAGTACTTGAGGAGAGCTTATAAACAGAAGGGAGACTGACTTTTTACATAGGCAGATAATGATAGAACGGGGGGAACGGTTTTAGAATAAAAGAGGGGAGGTTTAGATTAGATGGAGAAAATTATTCACTCAGAGGGTGGTGAGGCATAGAAATAAGCTGCACAGAGAAGCTGTGGATGTTCCATCTCTGGAAGCATCCAAGGCCAGGGTCCCCAAGCAACATGGTGTAGTGAAAGGTGCCTGGGCCCACAGGTGCAGGGGATAGAATGAAGTAGTCTTTAAGGTCCTTTGCAGTCCAAGGCATTCTGTGATTCAGATTCTACAAGCTACTGCCTATAATAATCTCTCAACGGTGGTTCGGTAACTCATGATTTAACAGTATTTTTAAAAGCTACCAGAATGTAGAATCAAATCTGACATAGGATACTTTGCAAAAATATAAAAACAAAACCTAGCTGTTTTAGGCTTAGATTTGGAAAAAATATTCTCAGTTAGGAACATGCTTGAGCCAGCCATCTTCCAACTCTTATCCCCTTTGGTCTTAGGACATTCACATTCAGCCCCTGCCATCAGTCCTAAACACTATTAGCTTCCTGAACAAACTTTGGATTCCATAATACAATTTCTAAGAGTCTAGTATAAAAAAGTATTCCTAAGAAAGACTCCTCAAATTATAAGACATGGCCTAAATTCTGTAGCTTCATTTGAAAAGCAGAACAATTTCAAAAAAGAAAAAAAACACATTGTTTTTCATCTGGACAGAAGCATTCTGTGAGGCTGACTGGTAAACAGACTGCTAGCTTTTTGTTTACAGTAGCCTCTCCAAGAAGCACATTTCAGAGTGCCCAGTGAGTGTGTTTCTTGCACAGGGCTTGTATTTCATTGCTTCTGCCTTGCGTGTTCTAAGAACTTCTGTTTTAAAGTGGAATATTTTATAAAGCTGATGTCTTCCCTCCCAACTTCATAGACCTCTTTCGCTGCTTGCAGGATTTCAGTGTAAGAAGGCCTGTCAACATACAGAAGCCAACACTCCACTCTCATTCCCACACCGGGAAAACAAACAAAACAAAAGAAATTTAAAAAAGAAAAATAAAGGAAGAAAAACCCACATGTCGCTTCATTTCAAAGTCTAACTGAACCCAGCTTTTCACCAAGTATTTCCCACTTCCTGACTTTCTATCAACAGGGTGGACTATCCACAGTGTTTGCTTGCTATGTAGTCACAACTTTGCTTCACTTCTCAGCAGCAAGAGGGGCATGCAGAAGCAGCCAAACGAGTAAGTCTGAAAAGAAATCCACAACTTTATAACTAGCCCAGTACAACTTTATTATTATTATTATTTACAGTGAGATAAGTGATTTTCTCATTCTAAGTAAACTCTTCCTGCTATCGTATACAGCTGCACTCACAAAAAAAAAAAAAAAAAAAAAAAAAAAAAATCCTAATTTTCTAAGTTTGATTGTATCTTAATGACATTATTTCCAGGGTCTTTATCAGCACTGGACTCATACCCTAGTCCCAGTGACTGATACCAGGTGGCCCTAGTGTCTGATGTGCTGTTGATTTTTGTTAACACTTGGATACCTGCTTTGAGGATCTTTTTAGTACCTCATCTAATGTTGGTTAATATTTTCTTATGATGTATTCAGCTCAAGCACTGCCAGGTGCAATATTCATAAATTCAAATTAAAGATGTTCAGACAGGAATACAGATGCTCTGTAAAATTCAAAGCATTTAAATAAAGAGAGGAGTTTCTTCATGTGCTTCCATTGATTATTGTGAGGCAAAGGCAAGTAACACCAGTTAGCTGATACAAAAGCTTCTGTGTAAAGTCACGTGGTGAAATATCAGTGCATTCTTTAAAAGAATGCATAAGAATATCCAAATCTAACTTCAATTACTTGACCAAAATACAGTATATGGCACAACAGGAGGTGAAGTTGGGCTGGGACAGGTACAGATTAGAAGTAGTGAAACAGTTGAAACACTGCCTACCAAAGGTGGCTTTGGCAGAATTGCAGCATCTCAGGGAGCGGATCTCTAGTGGTGGGCTTAGAGTACAACTCCGAAACCTGGATCATCTCTCTGTTGTTTCAGAACACTAGATAGCTGATACAAGACCTCGTAACAGGCTGCCGGACTATAACACGTTTCAAGTTTTCAGTAAGCAAACTCTTAATCCAAGGATAAGAGCCACCTTTATTAAAAGGAATGCAAGGAAGATGAAAGATAATGAACCATATATAAACAATATAGCTGCCTCAGACCAGAGAAGAGGAACTGTTATTCTTGAAAGCATTATATATTATAGCCTGAAGAGATCCAGACGCAGCTACATCAGTTAGTACCGTTTAACACAATAGAGACTTAGGAAAACCATTTTTACACCTAGAAAATCTAGTGAAATGGTATTAGAAGGCGTTTTCCCATGTAAAAAAAATAATTCTTACACATTCCAGAAAAAGAACTGAAAATCCTGTTTTCATGGCTTGCACCTCCAACTTACATTCTCAAAATGAAGTCTCTTGCTCAGCCTTCCTACCTGAACTACAGATCATTGCACCAGGAAAACAGTAGATACAGTAGGAAACAATATGGTGCATCAGTAGCAGTTTTATTTTGGAATCTACATGGTCCAGACACACTGGCATCCAATATTCAGCACAGCTCCTTAACACAGGGTCTTCTACATAATACTATATATCAGTCAACAGAAACCATGGGGGAAAAAAATAAAAACCAAACCAATCAACTTCTTTTAATACTTTAGTACATGAGGACCCTTCTTTTGGTCATACACAGTCAGTACTATTTTCCAGGCTTTCTTTGTTTGCCAGGTAGGATAAGCTGTGGAGAACAAAATTCAGCAGGAAGTGCCAACATGCTCTAGCATTACATGTTTAATATTAGAGTCCGAGGCCCGAGACATACAGCAAAACAAGCTGCTGTTATTGGTTATATTACACCACTCCTAACAGTTTATTTCAGATATCGATGCATCATTTTCTCAAATGAGGTCTTAGGTGGTAAACGAGGATCTTTCAGATCTCTCCACATTACTCCTACAAGGACTCCATACAGGGGTAGTGTCACTTCTTAAGTAGATGGGTAGTTGGGTAGGACAGTTGCAGAACTGCTACCTGGCTTCTTCACACTGTATTAGTAATGTTTTCCTCATTAACTCTTCCTTGTTTTTCCTTATGTTGCTTACATTCTTATGAGTCCTTATTAAACAGTAATCTGCAGGGTGAGGAGATTCTCTCTTTTTCAGGATTAAGCATAAAACACAGTAATGTAGATCACAGCTTTTCATTCTAGCATATATTAAAATATATTTATCTCTGAGAAGTCTGTAGAAGGGACTGCTTAACAGATATCTAGATTACCTGCACAGAAATATTGAGTCTCAAACACTAAGCAGGAATACCTGTCAATAAAAAGAGGATATTTTTTAATCTGTGAATTTTTCTATTAAAATTAAAAGTCAGCACACATTGTCAGTGGAACTCACTATAACAAGTCACTGAAAAGAAGAATCTACAAATACACAAAGCTGGAACAGACACAGTCACAGTGTACCTAAAGGATTTGAAAATGTAATTACCATTTCATTCAAAAGACATCAAGCTTTATGTTTCAGAGCTTTCGTAAATCTTTAGAAGACCAAAAACAGGCTTCTTGCCAAGAAGGAATGTAGATTATAGCATCAGCTCCAAAATTAATTCCTCTGCAGCCTTTGTTTTTAGTAGCTGTCAGGATTAAGAAAAATGACAAGATGGACATAATACTAACCTACATTACACTAGTTCTTAGATAAGCCATCCCATAGTGCAGTATGTGGTTTCAAAATACTGCTTGTAACTGAGTACCAGGTCCAAACAGTCCCGGCTTCATTCAGCCACCACCATCCTTCCACACAGCACAAGTCTCCAGTTTCAGCAAAGGTTTCAAGAGAGCATGACTTGGCCAGCGGCTGGCAGGTATTCAAACACAATATCTACAATTGCTGAGGTTATTAGACCACTCAAAACTGCAACAGGATTTTTATCATTTTCCCACAGAGAAACTGCCAACTGTCCTCATTCAGACAGCTGGGATACTGAATTCCGGAGTAACTTTGCCCAGGTACAGAGAGCAGATCAGTTATGAAACCTGTAGCGGGAAGGCAGCACAACAGAAATAAAACAAAGCTGAATTCCCAAATCTCAGCTGGGAGATATTAGCAGCATTGTCAGTTAGCAAATGCTTTATTGTTGCATTTCATTGATCAGTTATAGAACAAAGTTAACTCTTGCTCTGTTAGCTGATTTCAGCCTTAATAAAAGCATTAATAGTGGAACTCAGAAACAAGTGTCCCATTTGAGAATGATGGCTTTACTTTCCAGAGCCATAGAAAACCCGTGTCTTGCACAATCTTCCAGCAGTTTCACTAAAGCACAAAGTCTTTGAAAAATCTGAGAACATTACACAGAACAGAGCAACAACCATCAGTCTAAAGAAACTAATGAGTCTCACCTTATCCAATTCCAAGACCCTACTTACCATCCAGCGGGCTGAGTTGTGTTTAATATAAAAGAAACACAATACTTAACAAGTAATACCTATATATTTTCCAGCAGAACAGACTGCAAGCAGTGTAATTTATCTGAAATTAACTTGATTCCAGGCATGCTTTTCTTAATGTACTTAGGGAGACAAAGTGCATACTTTTCTCTATGAAACATTCATACAGAAGGAAATTATAAATCTCTGCATTAAAGCAAAAGTTTCCAGGATAGATTTTGCTGCAAGGGTTTGTGGTGATACCATTTCCTCTGTTTCATTCAACACATTTATATATTCACAAATTTTCTGAAGAATCAACACATACTAATTTGACCTGCTCCAAGAGATCTATAAAAGATCTTAGACGGTATAAAGTGATATTCCTAAGCTGGGGGAATGTCAGGATGCTCTTCCAAATATAAAAAATAAAAAAATAAAAAAGAGAACAAACCCAAAAGGTACATAATTGTGACTACATGACAAAAATGTCAATCGTGATCTGCAATACTTTTCATATGCTAGAAATTTCATAGATGAGACGGTTGGGAAGCCGAACTACTGCTGGACCACACTGCACCAGCAGTGTGCACTTGCATCCCAGAAGGCCAACCGTGTTCTGGGCTGCATTACACAAGGGGTGGCCAGCAGGGAGAGGGAGGTGATTGTCCCCCTCTACTCAGCTCTTGTGAGGCCCCATCTGCAGTACTGCGTCCAGGCCTGGGGCCCCCAGCACAATAAAGATACAGAACTCTTGGAACGAGTCTAGAGGAGAGCCACTAAGATGATCAGAGGGCTGGAGCACCTCTGCTATGAAGAAAGGTTGAGGGGGCTTGTTAAGCTTGGAGAAGAGAAGGCTCCAGGGAGACCTCATTGCAGCCTTCCAGTACTTAAAGGGAGCATATAAACAGGAGGGAGAATGGCTGTTTACGAGGGTGGGTAGTGATAGGACAAGGGGGAATGGTTTTAAACTGAGACAGGAGGTTTAGGTCAGATATTAGGAGGAAGTTTTTCACACAGAGGATGGTGACGCACTGGAACAGGCTGTGGATGCCCCATCCCTGGAGGCATTCAAGGCCAGGCTGGATGTGGCTCTGGGCAGCCTGGTCTGGTGGTTGGTGACCCTGCATATAGCAGGGGGTTGAAACTAGATGATCATTGCGGGCCTTTTCAACCCAGGCCATTCTATGACATAGCAATATAGGCATGTGAAAGCATCCAGTGGTTTAAGAATTATTTTGTTCTGAATATCCAATCCTCCTTTCCCACCACATACCTCCATGCAGTTAACGTCTTCATTATCCCTCAGTGCAAGGATATCTTCACAAATCGCAGCAGCTTGCAGCCCACAAGGCTGATGATAGAGCACAACACATTCTCACAACCTACTCTAACAAAGAGGGCTACAGGAGGCTTCAACCCGCTGTGGAACAGCCTCAGAAGCTGCATGGATTAGAAGATCAATTAATTCATGGACAGGAACAATTTCCCCTTGATCTTCCACTTCTGCTAATGCCTTCTAGCAACACTGTTAAAAGGTGGAAGCAACTACACCTTCCTCTTCTGTAACCTTTCTCCATTCCTCAGTTCCCTTTCCTCTCTGCCGCAATTGACTCTGCACTCCAGCAGTGCAGTCAAACTATAGTTTTGGATGCAGGAAGAAATGTTTCACCTCCAAGGTTCAAAATACTCATAAAAAATAATCTCCAGACAGTAGAAACATTAGTATTTAAAACTGTTAATAGTTCTGGTTTCAGAGAGGGGAAAAAAAGAGGCTGAAGCTGTATTTTCTGAAGGCTTTGGCTCATTCGCTCTGCTGTCTTCTGTGGCCTGTGCTTAGAAAGAATAAGGATATACAGGACAAATAATAGTCTTAACCACTCCTTATGCGGGGAAAAAAACACCTCACTACATTTGCTAACTATGAAGTGGCTATTTGGGGAATCTATGTTCTCCTCACAGAATGTAGCTTTAACACTTGCCAATTAAAGCAAACTCTTAAGACAAGCCCCCTTCCAACCTTTCTTCTTTCAGGTTCCCTTCAGAATGTTTGCTGATGAGTCTCTCTACCTGAAATCTGTACAAACTCACATTCAGTGGCTTTTTGAGTCAAGAGAACTGATGGACATACAATGTATGGCAATATCCATACACATGCCTATATCTCACATCCTTTGCAAGTAAAAAAGAAAAACAACAGCCAGTTCTGGAAGGACCAGAATTAAAGTTGACCAGCTTCCTGCAAGTTTTTTTAATTGATTTAAAAATTGCAGATCCTGGTTGAAGGTTTCCCTGTGGTTCTGGTACTTGCGAGTGCTTTCCCTTACAGTAGCTCTTCTGTGCATGTTAAAGTAGGAGATGACATGGCAACTTTTTGCTCAATTGCTGAGGCACTTGCAGGTATCAGCCATATTCACAAAGTGGGTCGGAGCTTCACTGTCTGCGAAACCACCACTTCGTCCAGAGGAGAGCCACAGAACTGATCCAAGGGATGGAAGACCACTCCTACAAGAACAGGCAGAGAGAGCTGGGGCTATTCAGCCTGGAGAAGAGAAGGCTCTAGGGAGACCTGATAGCAGCCTTTCAGTATGTAAAGGAGGGCTGTAAGAAAGAAGGAGACAGACTCTTCAGCAGGGCCTGCTGTGACAGGACAAGGGGAAGTGGTTTCAAACATAAAGAGAGGAGATTTAGATTGGATATAGGGTAGAAGATTTTTTACAGTGAGCAGGTGAGGCACTGGCACAGGTTGCCCACAGAGGTGGAGGATGCCCCATCCCTGGAGATGTACGAGGTAAGGCTGGGGGGGCTCTGAGCATCTGATTGAGTTGTAGGTGTCCCTGCTCAGTGCGGGGCAGTTGGACAGGATGGCCTTCAAGGGTACCTTCCAACTCTAACAAAGAAATCACAGAACAGTAGATTTGTTAATTTTGGGTAGAATATGCAAACAATTCAGAAATTTCTGGGATAAAGGACATTAGACACATAGAGTGAGATCACAAACCAACCACAAGGAAACTGTCATGAAGAAATAAGACAATGTCTTGAATGGCAAAATTCAGTCCTTAAATGTACAGGACAGTCTTTTCTGCCATTAGTTTTTCCTCAGCAGTAATTGGTTCTTCCACATTCTCCACAGTTCTTCCAAGAACAGATACAGCATACTGAGGAATAAGGCTTCTTCTCATCTTTGAGTTTCTGCTTTCTTCTATAGTTTTCACGCTGACAATTCCAAAGGGGCTTCCTACTTCTCCATACTACAGTCTGACACAGAAAGAACAGTAAGCACACAGAAGTCACAGATACATTTTCCTCTCCTTTTTGATGCTGAAGCTCTCACAAAAACAGTTCTAAGACCATAATACACCCAGAAGTTCACACTAATTTTCTGCTATACACAACCATAAATCAGATCTTCTTCACAGGTTCAGCATCTGATCGTACTGGGCTGATTTCCAGACAAGCATCAGCAGACAGCTCCCTGCAGACGTGGCAGCCCTACACCACACTGCAGCCTTAGCGTAAAGCGCTCCGGACACTCCATCATTCCTCCCTAACCTCGCTGCATGACAGCACGGCTCCAGCTAACACTCCTTAGCAAGAACAAACAATGCAAGAGCTCGGGCAGCTGCCCGGGGTGTGCTGGGCAGGAAGGGCTGAGATGTGACACAGCAAAACACAGGCTGTGCTGTGTGCGAACAGGGGGGCCTGTGCTGTGTGCGAACAGACCGCCGCACGCAGCAGCAGCAACTTCAGCTTATGCCTTTTTCGTTTTACTCTTTTTTTTTTTTTTTCCACCTCTGGAAATCAAATTATATCCACACCATTAAGAATACCTTTAGTTATATTTAGCAGACGGCCACGGCGACGTGTATTTGTGCAGAAACCAAAGGGGGCTGCTGACACATTCCCAGCTTCGACGTGCCTGCTGCCACGTCTGCGAGCAGGGCTCTCGCTGTAGGTATTCTCAGCAGTTTATCCTTAAGACCTGCGCGGTTCTGACACAAAGCTGATGCCGTATACTCAGACAGCACTGAAAACATACATACATACATACATACATAAACAAACGCACAGTACGAAGACAGAAGGCAGCGCATCCCACCGCCATCCACCTGGAGCTGACGCAGCACGGCATCCCTGCCTGCTGCCCGCCTCCCCTCAGCCCGACGTGACCCGGCTGGATGCACTGAAGCTGAGGGCGGCCCCCAGCGCTGCCCACGCCCGCCCAGCGGCTCACACCGCGCCGCCACCTCTCCCTCGCAGCTTCACTGCCGTAATGGCGACCGGAGGCCTGGGCTAATAACCGTATCACGCCTCCTCCTTCGCGGGATCCCTGCGCCGCCAGAAAGTAGTCCCCCCCCCCCACCCCTGCCGCCCGCCGGGGGAGCCCCGCGGCGCGCACGGCCAGAGTTCCATCGGCGCCAGTGGAATCCTTCCGCCGCCGCGCGCTGGGGCTCCGCCGGCATCCCCGCCCCTCGGCTAGATCCGGCCGGGCCGGCGCGGAGGGATCCCCGGGGCCGCGCCGCGCCGGGGGAGGGGGCCGCGGTGCTGGGGGGGGGAGGGGGGTGCGAGGGGGCAACATGGCGGCTCCGCATTAACTTTCCCCCCCCGGCAGCCCCCCCCCCCCTCCCCACGCGATGGACAAGGGCGCGGAGCCGTGGGGGGCCCGGAGCCGGGCGGCCGCCGGCGGCGGTCCTAAGAGCGGCGGCAGCCCCTCCGAAGGGCCCTACTCAGAGCCGGAGAGCGGCGGCGCCGACGGCGGCGACGAGCACGGTGCGAGCTGGGCCGTGTGCGCGCCGCCGAGCCGGGGGAGGGCGCGAGGGCCGGGGAGCGCCCGCCGCCCCCATTGTTCTGCCGGAGGCAGCCCCCGCCCCCCCGGCCCCCTCCCTGCCGGCCGCCGGGGCTCCATCCGCGGGGGGGCCGGGGGAGGTGGCTTCGCCCGCGCGGCGGCGGCGGCGGCAGCAGCGGGGGCTCCCGGGCGGCGCTCCCGCCCCCCCGCGCGGCGCGGGGCTGGGACGGCGGCGCGGCCGCTCACCGCTGCCCTTCCTCCCTCCGCTCTGTGTTGCAGATGTAGGCATGAGGGTCGGCGCGGAATACCAGGCGCGCATCCCCGACTTTGAGCCCGGTAAAATCGCTTTTTTTTTTTTTTATAATTTATTTCCCCTTTTCTTTCTTTCTTTTTTTTTTTTTTTTTTTTTTATTCTTTTCCTTTTTTTCCCCCCTCCTTGTGTCTGCAGGGATGCGCGTGGTGCGGGATTGGGAGGGATGCGGGGCGTCGGGCGGGTTTGTGATTTCCCTCTCGCTTTGTGCATCTGCCCGGGGTGAGCCCCGAGCGCGGCCCGGCCTCGTCGTGCGCGGCCACCTCCTGCCCGCCGCCCGCTCGGGGCGCCGCGGGGCCGGGGGATGCTCGGCTGAACCGTTGACTTCGCTGCTCTCCGAACAGGCTCCGCGGGTGTCAGATGATTTCCTACCGGAAGAGGATTGGGCCGCAGCTCCTCGCAGTGACTCCTCGGCCCCGGCCCCCGCGCTGGGCGCGGGTCCCCGCAGACCACGGGCGGGGGGATGGATGCGGGCCGGGCGCGGGGAATGCCCTTCCCCGAGAGGGGCGCCTGCCCGGGGCCTTTGTTAATGGGGCCCGCCGTCCGCACCACTCCTTTTAACGCCGCCTCCGTGGAAATAAATAAAAATGATCACCTCTGATGTGCAGCCTGGGCTTGCTTTTCCTACAGGCCACCTGGAAAAATGCACGGCCTTCCTTTCGCCTTTGGTTAACTCTTCTAGAAGAGGCATATAGCATTGTTCCGAGTGCACAAACCCCGATCCTTGGGCTGAGCGGATGGTGACTCCTTTGGAACAGCAAAATTTTACATTACACAGAAAACTTCACAGTGTGTAAAAGCAGGATGCATCCTTACTGTGTTACCAAACTGAGGAGCTCTCAGCAAGATCCCGTGTTCTCTCCTGCTTGCTTTCTGCTGGCTCTTGGGGCGGCCTCTCTGAGGGATGCTGGGCGCAAAGCTGAGCTCTTGTCCTGTCACATATACACCTGCATTATTATTGGTGTGCTTGTTTTTATTGTATTTTGATGTAGCAAATGGACTTTCCATTGTACCTGTGGGTTTGCATAAGTGGATATAGGCATTATTTCTAATTTACTCACTTCCATGATTTTTCCTCTTGCAGTTCCTCTGAATCCCTTTCTCCTGACAGTCTGCCCGTAATGCTGGGATATGTGTTTGGTTATCTGATTTCAAATGCTTCTTTAACAAGGTAGTTGTGAGGCAGGAGTCCATCCCAGATAGAACTGGGTGGTGTCAAAGCCCACAGAACTCTGAGCAGAACCCCGTTTGGCCTCACTTTGTCAGTTTGTAAATATTGGTGAGTGACGCTTTGCAACAATGTGTTCAGGAAGAAAACATTCATGGTTAGAGTTGTGGCAGTATTATAGGTGAACTCAGGATGGAAAATGTTGAAGATAATTTGTTTAAAAAAGAGGTTAATCAGCTATTTGCTGGTCTCTTGGGGCAAGAAGTGGCTGAACACAGCAGCTGGGAGAAGCTGAAATGTGCTCTTCCCATGTTCTACCCATCACCCCTTTGCAGAGGCAAGCCTTCAGCCAGAGCTGATGTGGGAATGGCGCTTGGAATCACCACTAGATGTAACAGCAATGAGATCCATTTACTTGCTGTGATAAATGGCATTAATAAAATAAAGCCCCTAGATCCCCTCACCTAATTTGCTAAGTTAATGAACCATCTCCTGCGCCCCAGGTTTTGGTCTCCTCCTGTTGATTTCCCTGTAGTACTTCATATTTCCAAGGCAAAACGTTCTGCCTCGGCTTTCTGACCCACCCATCGACATAGCAGGGTATCACGGTGCTGGGTCCTCACTGGGGGCTGTCCAATTTCTTTCTTAGGGAATGAGCCATGGAGAATGCCACTGCTGGAAAGGTGCTGTACTGTTGTGTGACCTCTGTGATACGGCTGCCTCCGTGATGTGGTTGCCTGTGGAGTTTTATTTCACGCTGAAGAATCAATGCTGTCCTGACTCAGGCAGGCCGTGATACAATGAGAGTTCACAAAGGCTTTAGTATGAGTTCTGCTTGCTTAGTGCTGAAATGCTGCTCTTCCATTTACCCCGTTCTTGGGGGGTGAGTGGAGAAGGATTGTTGGAGCATTTAAGGTTGCTTATGGATTTCATTTCATTGTACATCCTTCTAATCTTTCTCCTTCTAACCTTCCTATGTAAAAATGGAGTCTGTTAAAGGGAAGTAATGAAATAGCCTGGTGAAAGACGTAGAAGTTTCTTTGTGTTCGATGTCATCTGTCCTCGCAGTCCCCAATTTATTTATTTTTTTTAAGACGTCCAGTCCTTGGGTTTCAAAGTTAAATTACCAGACACCCCCAGTGCCATTATTAAGTCACGTATGTTTCCAGATACTCATCTTATTCTCAGTACTTATAGTCACGTACAGAGTGGTGTCTTCCAAGCACCCCTGACTTCTGCTAATGCTAAACTGCAGTGTAGCAGCTGTCAGTCTGGTGCTGTGGTTGCTCCCTTACAGAAGCCGTAGGGAGTGCTTACTGTCATCTCCAGCCAGCACTGTTTCTTGACAGCATTGGCAGCAGCTGAAGTGCAGAAACCTTCTCCAAAGTAGCTCAGTGTGGTTGGGGAGGGGAGACTTGTGTCTGAGGTGTAGCTAATGGATTTTGTCTTCCGTATTGGCATACGCTTCTGCTCTTCTTACCTGCTGTGGGTAAGGTGCTGCCTGCTATTTCCAGCCTCTACCCATAATAAGCACATCGCCTTTGGGAAGCAGTTCAGCCTTTATTTAGGAGTGGGAGAGTGCTGCTCACTCAAACACTTGGACACGAAGGACAAGAAGTGGTTTTCATAAAGAAAAACCCTAGTCCTGCTTATGGAGTTGGAGGGATCCCTCCTGGAGGTATAAATGGCAGGGCTCAGGACGTAGGTTGTTAACCAGAGTACTTCAGTATTCAATAGCTGACAGTGTCCTTGACATAAACAGGTCTGCAGGTGTCTGTCAGGATTATTACTTTATTTTCTTAAGGGAAAACTGAGGGTCTGGTCACATTAAGTTCGGGCATTTGATATACAGAAGGAGAGAGCCTGATAAACTGATGTATTCTCTAGTGGTCATCCTAGTTTCTACTTTTAGAGAGTGGGATACAAAGCAACGATCATTCTTTTCTGATAGAAAACAACTGGATGAAGAGGTGGTACAGCAGCGACATGTTTGCATCACTGCTCGTGAGAATATTGCTTTCCTAATGACTAAAAAATTCCTACTTTCTTTTTCTAATGTTATGCTGTAAAATTTGCTCTTGTGCTAGACTTGGAGAGGGTGGGGGTTTTTTGGTGTGTTACGCTTTGAAATGGATGCTTTGTGGCTTCTGTGTACATTCTTAAACTTATTGCAGTTACCTGTGTGTGTTTCAGCAGACGCAGGAGTTCATTCAGTGTTTCTAATTGAGTTTTTGAGTTTACAATCATAATGGATCTAAAGACTGCAAAGATGATAGCAACTTCAGAACGCTGCCAAACTAAACAGCAAAAAACAACAAAGCTTAGCATATGATTAGGAGGCACCAAGTAGTTATCTCTTCCAAAGCACTGTTCATTCTTTGCTTTGTTTCTCAACAACATGTAGAATCTAAATATCAAGGACGAGAGCTTAAAGTGGAGTGAAAAATTACTTATTTGAGGGAATAAATAAATATCCTTCTACAGGAAAGATGCGAGTAGAGTTTCCCCAAGGCGCTTCCTCAAGAAGTTCATGCTGACAGTGGTGTAAATGCTCCAGTTGTTGAGTGATGTCTTCAGAAGTTGAAATATTGAATACCTTTGTGAAATACCCATAAAATAGAATACCCATACTATTAATTACTTGATGCTTTTCCAGTATTGAGCAACTCCTTTAAACACGTTTTCAAATCAAAGAGACTGAAACATTTTTGTACTTTGTACAAAGTCACATCAACATTGCAAAACTTGCTTTGTCCCCCTGAAAGATTTGTCACTTGATCTGCTTCCCTTGCTATGGTTCAGGCAGAGGAGAAGCAGAAACAGAGGAGAAAAAGAGCCTTCAATCTGTCTACCGTTTATAGCAGCGCAGATTGGTTGGCTGTGAACATCAAAATCACATGGCTATGGAAATCAAAACCTTAGTTGAGTTGGGCTTCTCAAGGTGGTTGACTTTTAACTTAGTGTCCCATGAACAGCTGTTCTCTAGAATGTTTTTATTAACACTAAGACTTGCTTGTTTTCTTACAGGCGCCACAAAATACACTGATAAAGATAATGGAGGGATGCTCGTATGGTCACCATATCATAATATTCCAGATGCCAAGTGTAAGTCTCGTTCTGCTTAGGAATTTGAATGCTTAAGTTAAATTAAGTAATTATTTCTAGAATTCCTGTTTGCTGTTGACTTTTTAGTAGAATTCCAGATTTGTAAGAAGCTTTGCTTTTATTTAGCAAACTAAAGGGACCCTACCTTATTTTGTAGTTAAGTCTCTGTTTCGAATTGTACTGGATGTGTTGTGTGTTTCAGATCAGTGTCTGAAGCCTTTTAGTTATTAATAAAGAAATAAAGTATCTAACTGTGAGGAACTTGACACTAAATTTATTGGAAAAGGAATTGCAGTGGATGTATTCAAGGAAAGATTTGTTAAGGCCCTACTCAAGAGATTACTGCTTCTGTGTTACTAGGAAAAAATGATCATTTTTTTCCCCTGTAAAAAGTGACCTGAAATAGGAAAAAAATTGTCTCAGAAAGATGTGAGGCATTGGAGCAGGCTGCTTCAGGAAGTGGTGGGGTCACCATCCCTGGAAGTGTACAAGAAATGTGGAGATGGCCTAGAGGGCATGGGGGTGATGAGTTGATGGCTTGACTAGATGATCTTAGTGGTCTTTTGCAGCCTTAACGAGTCTATGAAATACAGAAATTACCTAGATAAATGTGATCAGTTTTGTTTAATCCAGTTTAAACTCAACTCCTATGAAGTAATGTAGAGAAATAAATTTTTGAGGATGCAGTTATGAGAATCTGATCCTCACAGCAGTTACTGTATCTTGTCAGTAATTAGAGGTTTGTGTCCTTCTTTGCATTTGAGAGAACATACCTTCAACCACTGCAGACCAGTTAGAAATAAAATACTCTGCAAGTATGATTAGGGAACGTTTACTTCATTCATTTAAGGTACAATTAACTCTTTGCAGCAATAGTTCATGCCAGGAATATCTCTGGTTCATTTGAGTAGCAAGAATATAATTGTTTCCTTTTCTCAATTGTCCTTCCTTTTAACTTAATTTAGTTGCCACTTAATTGTGAACTGTAATGAGTGAACGGGAAGAGTTTGTTTCTGTAAAAATAAAGTATGTATTGAAGATCAAAGCTAGCAGGACTTCCATCAGATCTAACTGCATAATGATGGATGATATTCAGCTCAAACCTAGCAGTGATATACATATTATCAGTGTTGATAACTTGATTATTGAATTTTTGCATTCTGAATTGTAAATTGGCTTGATGCTGCAGTTATATTTTAAAATTAGATAACATTAACTTTATCAATATCAAGGATATGTGTAATTATTGATCTAGAATCTACTTACAATAAACTACACGAATTTTTAACGTTTGGGAATACAAACAGCAGAGGTACTTCAATTTAAAGCTAACCCAGGTATCCAAGCACTCGTCTGTGTTCTTTGGAGTGGGTTCCAAGAAGACTTTGCCTTTCTCTAAACAGCTGCTCTCTGACATAAAAGAAAAATGAAACCCAAAAATTGAACCTCTGTGAGAATTAACTGATGTGCAGACTTCACAAAAATTAAATGTTGTATTGCAGTTTATTTGCTTGAATACAGCTACACATATGCTTAATGTTTAGAGGGACCTGGGCCTATGAATTATATTAAAGCATGGAAAGACTCTCTTCCCATGTTAGATGGCTAATTCTTTGGGGCCTTGTAGCAGAATTCTAAGTACTAAAGAATAATTTTGACATTGCTTTGTTACAGTGGATGAATATATAGCAATAGCAAAGGAAAAACATGGATACAATGTGGAACAGGTAAGTGCTGTGAAGCGAGAGTGCTAATTTAAAGGATTTTTAAAATATGAAAGTATAACACAACTCTTTTTTTCCCCTTGGTTACCATTAATTAACGCTGTTTCTCTTCAGGCACGGCAGCAAACACTGCAGTTAAATGGATCTGCATACAGTTGTGGTCTGGATTCTCTGCAAAAGATTGAGCTCTTTGTTTTCATGACATGCTCAGCTTGTAATGTGCACTTTTGAAAGGTTTGGTATGTTTCTTGATACACTGGGCATGTCATGCAATTGTGTGTGTATATTTAGCTAAAGAATTTCTTAGGAAAGTGGCTTGCAAATTCAGTGTTTAATTCTGCAATTCACATGTGGTAGAATTTTGAACCATTAGTTGCAATAGGGCCAGAAGTGGTAAGGTCTCTTGCATATTTAAAAAAAAAAAAAAGCAAAACTTGAAGACTTCTTACTTTTTTTGCCCCCAGAGACAGGGAAACAGCATCAAATTCTACATTTAAGGATAACAAACAAGATTACTTTTATATTTTTTAATACTCTCCAGTCAACATCTCGTTAGGAAGTATAGGTTAAAATTTTGCTGGCCTGCACATAGTTGTGTTGTAATTTTCTTAGTAGTTTAGCCAATTTATGTAAAACTGAGATTATCTATTACCCCCCTAAGATTGGTATGCAAGTTGGAACATGTTGTATTAAGTTTTGCTTAAGTTTTGGAGGATGAAGGCTCATAACAGTGAAGACTTAATGCTCATCAAGTCTAGTGCTATCCTAAGAAGATGCTGCTAACACTAGGATTCCTAGAATAGTGCAGTTTGACAATGTTTATATGTGGTTTGGCTTCTGTTGGAAAAGAAATGGAGCTTAGGGATCTCAGAATAAGTCTACAAGAGGACTAAATTTCAAAGCAACTTACAGCATGAAATATTGTATTTCTCAGGGAAACAGGAATTATCTTTGCAAGAGGTGCTTGTTGGTTGCCATTTTAACAAGAGAAGAGGTTTGTTATATCTGGGTTGTTAGAAGGGGCCTGGAGAGCTGATGGAACAACTGGTGATCATGTCTGCACTGTGTGTTTGAAACTGAGTGGACTGTGTTTCCAAATTCCCATGCCAGACTTGGCATCAAATCTGTCATTGATTCTCAGGCAGTAAGTCTAAACGGTCAGTAATTCTTTAAGAATATTGAGAAATGAAACTATGTAAGAACATATATTTAAATTTCCATTTCCTATTAGGTGCATGTGACATGGAAATGGTCATGCTGTTATTTGTGGATTGGAGAGTTGTAGAAAGACTACTCTCACTTTGAAACTTTCAAACTTGCATTTTGGATGATCCTCTGGCTGCAGAAAAGTATTTTTCTTTTTTTCCTTTTTTTTTTTTTTTTTCTTTTGAGTGGGCTGGTAATAAAGGCTTGAAGGCCTGTATGGAACTGTGTAGGTGATACACGCTTGTAAAGAAAGAAAGCAGGTCAGATTCGAGTCTGTCAACCTTTTTTTTGCTACCTTAGACGTACTGCTGCCATGCCAACCTTAAATTATCTCACTATCATAGCTTTAATGATGAAGTACAGATGTGCCCACTCTTCACACCATCTCCAAAGAGAATTTTGTAGCCTATGAGTACATAGCCAACAAAATTGCCAATGTATTTTGAGAAGGGCTTCTGATGGTCAATGTTATTTAAAGTAAATGTTTGCCTTTTTTTTTTTTTTTCTTGTGTTAATGTAACTTTTCTCAACATTATAGAAAATGGACTAAATCCAAAAAGGGACTATTTCTTTTCAAAGGCTCTCGGCATGTTGTTTTGGCATAAACACAATATTGAGAAGTCCCTTGCGGATCTCCCTAACTTCACTCCCTTCCCTGATGAATGGACAGTTGAAGACAAAGTCCTATTTGAACAAGCATTTAGCTTCCACGGAAAGAGCTTTCACAGGATCCAGCAAATGGTAAAGTGACATTTTGATCAGAAGCATTAAGAAGTTCAGATGCATTAGAACAAAGGCTCCCACTGGGCTAAGATTTTGTCCTGATTTCTTTGAGAACAACTTAGAACATAAGATCTAAGATAATTTCTCCACGTATTGTGTAAGACGTAGCTTTTCTCCTCTGATAAAATAAGTTCCTCCTTGCCCTGCCTCCCAGCTTTTTTTAAATGCATCTCTCCTTTCAGTCTCATCCATGCATTTAAGATAGTTAGGTAAAGATGGTTGTAAATAGAACAGAATTATAATTTACGTGGAATGTTAACAAAAAATTGTATTAATATGTTAATGAATTCTTCTAGCTTCCAGACAAGACGATTGCGAGCCTTGTAAAATACTACTATTCTTGGAAAAAAACTCGCTCGAGGACAAGTCTGATGGATCGACAGGCTCGAAAGCTTGCTAATAGAAATAATCAAGGTGACAGGTAAGTCATATTCTTAAGTAGCTAATTAGAGACTGAAGTCTTTTTAGGTAATGAGATGAAAAAGGTAAAAGTCTTTTCAGGTTGGTTGTTTTTTTTCCATGATATATCTAAAACTTTCTTTTTACATTCATGTTAGTCAGAAATTCTATTGTGTAAATTACTGGTTTGGGTTTTTTTGTCTTTGAATTAAAATAGCAGGTTTACTTTTTTCTCTTTCCCTCTCCGAAGCACTTTAAGTTAGTGAAAAAGTAGTCCTGAATTTCTCAATTTTAGTGTCCTCTTCTGTTCCCCACGGACTTAAACAAGTGTTTATTCATAAATTTGGTGCAGTGGTTGGAAAACTGATCTGTTAAAGCTAACTGGACAAATGAAAGGATATTTTTGGCCTTGTAGCTGACTGTGTAAGTGTTGATGCTCACACAAGTGGTTGAACTGCAAAAAGGTGACACCAATTTCTTGACAGCAGTACCAGTTATACTGTCTTACAAGTGGCTTTGAAACTATAGTTCAGAATTGCTAGTAACAGTAATAAGGAAACATGTTTGTAACAGCTCTATTTTGAAAACTACATGTAACTTTGAAATGTCACATAATATAACCATAAATCTTGATTACTTAGATATTTTAGAGCAGATAATACTTAGCAAGATACATATCTGGGATTCAAAAATGGCTAGAATGACTGGCTTCTTATCATCTCTCCTCAGTGATGATGATGTAGAAGAACCTCATCCAATGGATGGAAATGATAGCGATTATGATCCCAAAAAAGAAGCCAAAAAGGAGGTAACAGATAACTTAATGGTGAATGTCAGTTTGTTTGTTTTCTGTGACTGTATTACTATGAAGAATCTCACAGTAGAGAGATTTAACATCTATGTGTTCGCTGCCTGATGACATCACAGGATTTTTAGTTGATCAGGATTTTGATCACTTCCAATATAAACTATGTGTACATATGTATTATAACCAAAGAACAGCAAATACATGTCACTGTCTCCTGAAAGATCTTAAAGTTTTATTAGGGATGTATGCTATCACTACCATAACTACCTCTTAAAACAGCATTGCCCCTAACTCTGTCTTGTTAGTGTGCTTGCAATTTTACTGGTTGTGAATTACTGAAAATTAAATGTTTGCATTTTTTAATTAAATGACTTTTTTTCCTAAGAATACTTTTTTTATTCTTTTGAAGACACAACGAGGTTCTGCATTTCAACTGATTTGTGGTTTTATTGAAATGCTTCTTATTAGTAAATGCACAGGAAAAAAAGCCTCCTTAAATGAGCACTTGTTGTTAGCTTTATAGATAAGTGCTGTGCTTAGAGTGTACTGAGGTTATTGTTTTTCTTTGGGCTAACTTGAAGCTATTGATGAACAAGACTAGAAAAGCACAGTTAAGTGCATAAATGTTCAATTGTTTCCTTGATCAACATAATGCCTTTGTGGTTTTCCTAAAATTTGAACATTCGTGCTCCTGGAGAATGAGAGGAAAGATGGCATAAAATTTCAATATCCTATAGGATCAGGAAATAGTATCTGGGATTATTAATAAAGCTTCATAAGAAACTTCATTTCTGTTCTAACAGGAATGATGCTAAGTAAGAGACTGGTGGTACTAGATTCTATTCTGAGTTTTGCAGCGTTCTTCAACATCACTTTTTCTCTCTAACTGCCTTAGGAAGGAATAAAGGACAATTACAAAGATCCCTTTCTATAAAAGAGTTTGAGATTTTACTTTGTTTTTTAATGTGCCTGTATAATCAATGGATATCAAGATGTTACAATCACAAAATAAACAAGAGAGTTAGGCAAAGTGGACTATGATAACAAGAGAGAATAAATGGAAGGCTTACCCTTATGCTGGGCTCACCACAAAACACCAGAAGGAGGGATCTCCAGACAACATCCTTCCCAACTGGCAGCCAGCTCTTAAATAGGTCTAGGAGGGATGGAGCCTGGCTCCACCCCTTCCTGCAGCACAGTGAATTGCCTTCAGCTGTGCTCCTCTGGCTGACTCATGGCTCGCCTCAGGTGATCAATCAGAGGTTCAGGCCGTGACTCAGCAGTTCCCATACACTTGCCCATATGTGTTGTTTAGGACTTGAAATGGCACAAGCCCTGATATTTTTTCACTTTTTAGTCTGCCATTTGTAACAGTGTTCTTACAGTCTGTTGGTTTTGCTTACTGCCTAAGCTGCTTGTAAATAATGGCTTTTTTGATTCCATTTCCTTAGTTATTGTTTGAGTCAAAAGTCACACAGTCCAGACTGAAAGTAGTATGTTCATAGATTTCTAGGAACGGGATGAAGAGGTCTGCAGTTTCTGATGATCTGTTTGGATCTGCATTAGATAATTCTGTGATCGTGTACTTCTAGTGAGATATACATACTTGTACTTCCTTAGACTACTTGAAAGTGCAGAGCAATGGAAACTTTATCTTACCAGATGAACCTAAAACAAGCCAAATGCTCGAGCCTGGCAGGACAAACACTTGAAAGAATGTTCTCTCTATAAATCCAGACTGAACAGAAGGGAACTGCAATGTCACACTGAAAGAACAATGCTGAACTAGAAAACAAATTGTATAAATGGGCTAGAAGTAAACTTAACCTTTAAATGTCAAAGATGTAAGGCTCTACATCAACTTTGAAGGAGAGCAAATATCCTAAGTGCTTTTAAGATCACCTCTATTAAGTCTGTGGGCTGGATTAAGATACTGCGTTAGCTGTGAAGAGGATGTGCCAGAAGGTCAAGCTTAGAAGAGCAAAATACTCTTTGCTAATCTGTGCTAATGCTCCAGAAGATAACAATCATGGCTGCTGCAATTTGTTTTCTCTTCATTGTGATCAGATGACCACCTACTTTTAACCTGCATGGATGCCAGCAGGGAGGAGCAATGGGGGGCCTCGTGGAGTAGCAAAAAGCCTGAATCCTACCACTGTTCTGGTATTCAGCTCTGCTCCAAACTGAAAAAATCCTTACAGGGAGCGTCAGTTTTCCTTCTCTATTCCAGTAGGTCTGTAGGTAATCTGCTCAGTTGCTCTGTGAGAGCCATATACATACAGACTAGCTGATGTGCAACAATGTCCGTAAAGGGCAAAGCTGAAACTTTGTCCTCTTAGGTGTCCAAATATATCAAAACAGCACTTGGAATGACTTTATCTCCTCTTTACTGTCCCTTTCCATTTCAAAGAAATGAAAAGCAAAGGCTTAACTTTGCTAAATTACATGGAATTTTATAAAGTATTATTTTATAAAAGTAAATCCATCGTCTGTTCCCAACCTCAAATCCCCTCAAAAAGCAAACAGCAGTATTGCTTTCCAAGTCAGAGCGCTTGCAACAGGGAAAAGCGCCATAGTTCATTCTTGCCAGTCCTGATAGTCTTTCTCTGATTCCTCTCCCTAACCATCTCCTGATGCCTCCATAACTGACTAAAAGTCAAGGCATGCACCCACTGATTACTTGGTTTAGACATGTAGTATATATATTTAGCTTCTGTGTACATAAGAAGTTCTTGATTCCTGTCCTCTCAACAACATTCAGATGTGATTTCTAGACTATATTCTGAATTTTCAGCTATGTTCAAGGGGGAAAAAAAAAAGGAAAAAAAAAAGGTTGATTGAAAAATGGATGTTTCTAAGCCTACTTATCCAACAAATGACTATTGTGCTATATCATCTCATCTGCAAAACTTAGTTTGGCTACTGTGTGCAGGGAAGGATGTTAGATTAGAGGTGTGGGGTTTTTTTTGTCCTGAGTATGACACTGCATTGCTATGTGATTCGTTGTTCTTAAGAAAAGTTCTGTATAAAATGCTGTTATTCTTTAATAATGTATTTCTTGTAAATTAAAGGGCAATAATGAGCAGCCTGTTCAGACCAGCAAGATAGGGCTGGGTAGAAGAGAGTATCAGAGCTTGCAGCATCGCCACCATTCTCAGCGTTCCAAATGCCGTCCACCAAAAGGCATGTACCTGACCCAGGAAGATGTGATAGCTGTTTCCTGTAGTCCCAATGCAGCCAACACAATTCTTAGACAGCTGGATATGGAACTAATCTCATTAAAGCGACAGGTACCATGGGTTATTGGTCTTGTTTTCATCTCAGTTTGTTCCTGTAATGATTTTGTAGATTATAAGATTACCTGTGAAGAGTCTGAAACATCTTTAATGTGAGTCTTCCTAATTTTGTTCCACAGTTACCTCCAGAAATGCTGGACACTAGCTGTTCTTCGGTTTCACTTTTTTGTTTCTCTGCTTTTGTGGATAATGTAAAACAAGACAACCCTCTTAAAAAGGGGTGGGGGAGCATGACATGAAAAAAAACAGTATTTATAATTGTTTGGGAGGTTTTTTTGTTTGTTTTTTTTTTACTTTGGGAAAAACACTTAAGTAACAGTTGAGAATACAACCAGTGAAGTGGTGGAAGTTGTTATGCTTAAAATCGTGTCTGTTTTCCAAATTGTGGTACCCCACATAACATAAAAATATAAGGGGAGAAAAACCATGGGCCTTGTTATTTCTCTGAGTTGATGAGCTTTCTGCTTTTTATTAAATCTGTAGTCTTTCTTGTAGTGCCTGCCTTCTTTGCATGAAGAAGTTAATCTCTGGCACTTCAAATTGAAACACAGTCTATTCAGCTTTTAAGGGCACAACAGTATGTGCATGCTTGCTTTCCTGGGAGCGACGTGGCTACAAGTTCAAGGCTTATCTCCTGGAATTTCTGCCTTCTTATGTAGACGAAGAAGCTAAGAGCTGCCATGTTGCAAAACCGTGGAGTAAACAAAGGGTTTCCTGGGCTTTTTGCTCCCTTGTATTCTTTTGCAGGATAAATATGCTTCTTTCTATTACAGCAGGACTTTGGGACTAAATAGCATAGTTGGGTTTCACTTTTTAACCTGAGTGTAGGTGAGTTACATCCTTGAGGTTTCTTTCTCTTCTTTTCTTGCAGTGATCTCAGGGATGCAGCCTTTGGAATCTGCTACTGAGCCATCTGCTTTTGTGTCACACTGATTCTTGTAATAAATGTGCAACATAGTATGCAAAACTACATTCTTACTATGTTACCATACATGCATCACTGTCAGGCTTAAATGGCTCATAGATATATTAATAAATACCTAGGTATAAGTTACAATCTAGAAATTCTCTTCTTTCTATAGGCTAAGGCATTTTGTTTACATGTTTTCAGTAATTCCAACAAGCATCCATAAAGGGAATCACAACCACAGATCAATAAAAAGCAGTCTGTCATAAGCAACTAACTGGAAACATCTCATACTTTTTCTTTTCTTCTTTTTCAAAGTACTTTTTGGAGAAGGAAGAAGTTTGCCTATACAGTACATCTCTCTTACAAATCCAGGAACTGAATTTTGTGTCTAGTATGTGCAGCATTCTTCTTCAAGAACAGATGTGTCATTATCAAAACTTGTGTTTTATGTCCTTCGTTTAATATTCTTGCAGACAACCTGTTCTTTTGAAAAACTGGCTTGAATATTTTTCTCTCTGTAGTGAACTGTGCTGTTCTTTTTATTTTTATTTTTTTACTTTTTAAAAAATGGTTAAAAGTAGTGAAGCCTTAAACCGTAATATTTCTCTTTCTAACTTAGGAGGTACACTTGTGGCAATCCTAGTGAAGATATATGTGTAAAGTGACCAACTTTCTTTGTGGAGCTGATTAACTTTGTTGTTTTTGACCAAGGTTCAAAATGCTAAGCAAGTAAACAGTGCACTTAAACAGAAAATGGAAGGCGGGATTGAAGAATTCAAACCTCCTGAGGTAAATCAGAATAAATATCGGAACTTGTGGCCTTGCACTTACATTAGCGGGAAGCTACAGAAATGTTTTGCTGCAGCATAGCGTTTGCATTTCAGCAGCAGCTTAAACAGGATCCATTGAATAACATGGTGTGGTGAGTCTGTCCAGTCTTCTATAAGGAATTAGTAGTAGGCTTTTTTTGTGTTTACTGGCAGAGCCAATAAGCAGAAGAAACTGAAATGTAGTATCTGTTTATGACAATAGGGAGATGAAATTGACTCATTTTTCTGATTAGAAGTGGTTTATGTAGACTGCTAGCAGTAAATTCTGGGCTGCTTGTGAAAACAGCAGTGTACGTAAGATTTGGGCATTTGAAGTGAATGATAGATTACTACAGAAGTTTTCTTTCTGGCTGTTTGAAAGCCTTGCATATGAGACATAATGTGAATGTAAAAGACCCCCAATGCCAAGTTCTAATAGTTTAGATACCTTTAACTATGAATTCAAATTCTGTCTGCATAAAGATCATTAGCTTGTGCACAAGTTCTGATATAGGAGGTAAAATTAGGAACTGTAATACAGCAGTAGCTTTTCTTCTGCTTTAGACCTATTCTCAAATCCTTAAATGGTACTTCCTCTTCACAAAAGCAAAACTATAAATTTATGGCTTATATGCAAGAGATTTTTCCTTATGTTACAATCTGTAATGCAACTAAAATACATTCTAATGCTCAGATATTTTACAGCTGTTGAAACATTTTAATGATCTTTGTGCCATTTCTCTAATTTTAATAGTCTAATCAGAAAATCAATGCCCGTTGGACCACAGAAGAGCAGCTTCTTGCAGTACAAGGTATGTTAATAGTAGTAGTGACCTGAGATATGATGCAAAGGATTTTAAGAGGTGTTCAGGCATATGTTTATATTTCCTTCTAAAGAAAGCTGGACTTTTACTTGGTCTTACAAGGAAGTTACTGGGAAAACAACAAAAGTAGTGAGAATGTTTAGCATATTCATTCAAGCATCACATCACTAGTCTTTCACTTAGCTTTTCTATTTAAGATTTAAGATAAGCTGGGTTTAACAGCTGTATTAATACAGAAAATTCCCTTCAATCACCTTCTAAAAAACCTTACACGAATTTCTACAAAGTGGAAGACTGAGGTACTAGCTGGAGTAACGACATTTGAAGCAAACATTTCTAAGACATCTTTCCATATCCTTGAAGTAGGAAGAGTCAGAAGTAAATTTACAGCAAAGAACAGTTGGTTTTTCTCTGTTTGTAAGGGAATAAAAGAGCAGATATCTACCCACTGGGGGCCTGTAATAGTCTTGAGTGGATGCTAATGTAACAGTCTCATTGGAGGAGAAAACTCCAAAAATTTCTAGTAGTTTATTGATGTGGCTAATTTGCAGTTTCATTTATACAAAGGAGAATTGATTCTTGTCTTGCTTTTACGTGCACTGCCTAATCAAGAATCATGCAAAGGATATATCTAGAGAGCCTGATACTGTTTTGAATTATATGTTGATTCATGTCTATTGATCATCTTTTCTAAAAAAATACAGATCAGCTCGGTTACATGCATATGTGATGTATCCCTGTATTCTTCACCTCCTTTAAACTGAAAGATTCAATTTTAGTACAAAAAAACCTTCCATTTGATCAGTGTATCAGTATGAAGTTGCCAGCTGTACGTACCTGGTAGTTATTGGCCAGGTGAATGAACCTGAAATTCGGCTTATTTCAAAATGTGAATGGAAATGCTGAAGAGAATGGTGCCTCTGAAACTGGGATTTGCATCTCCAAAGTGTTTTCTGTCCTAAGTTCCTTCAGTATTGCTAAAAATTTTATTTAATTTTTAATTGAATTTAAGAAAATTTAATTTTCTTCCCAAATGCAACATGAGGAGGTGCTTGTCTTTGATGCGATACTCTAATAGGTAGAATGCTTGCTGCAGAAGTGAGGAAAGTCCAGGTTCATTGTAAATAGGTTCATACCACTTTCCATTTTTGGAGTTTAGTTGTTAGAGCTCTAACCAAGGAGGAACTGTTTGGGAAGTAATAAGAATGCATTGAGCTTTTGCTCAGCTATGGCAGAATGTAACCAATAATGGAAATGAGAAAACTGGAGCATGGAGAAAAAAGAAAGGATTGATGGCAACTGCTTGGAGAGGCATTCTAGTCTTCCAGTCTCTCCTTGACAGAATGTTTTATAAAGACAATTAGCTCTAATACTTAAGGATAGGATGAGAAGCCTACTGGAAGAAATCCATTTTCACCAAATTTCCGTGATCTTCCTTCATGTATTGTTTTCTTTATAGAGTCTTTCATTGCCCACTATCTAATATGGGGAAAGGAGAACACCTTAGCATGAATATTTTTATCCCATCTTTCTCTGTTATCCCCTCCCAGCATATGATTGTTGTAAGTGTTAACATCCCATCCCCCAGGCTGAGGAACAGCACGGCCCCTGATCCCTTCCTTCAAAATAGTTGCTAGAACTAGAAGCCTAATGTTTGAAGGACCCAAGCATGGGGACATATAGTTTGTACACTTAAAATTGATTCAGTTCATCAAAGACATTGATGTATTTTGGCACATAGTTTAATAAATTTACAAAAATGATCAGCATTAAGCAGGTAGGTGACATTTCTGGAATTTGTTCTCTAATTCCTACCATGGAATCAGAAAAATTATCTGCTATAGTACAGTTTTGGTTCTGTGTTTTTTTTTTCTAAACATGAACTAATCCTTGTAGTCTGTGGGCTAATCTCAGGAGATTGGCAGTAACTGAACAAAGAGATGACATAAAAAAGAAGAAGAATAGAGCTGAGTGTGTGCAATCTTAAAAGCAGCATGGCTGCTTCCACTGGGATCAAGAACTCAGACTTTAGATCTTCGAGCCAACCTTTTGCAGTATTAATCAAGTTACTGTTTGACTTTGTCTGAATAGTCATTGAATGCAGTGGGCCAGTTTGTCATGTGAGTTTGTTAACTTACAAACTTTATTTGTGTACAGAAACGTGCGAGCGCAGTCATCTTTTTAAACTAAGATTTGTTCAAAAGAGCAAAATTTGAAGTGAAAAGCAGGCTTGCTTTTTGCAGTGGAAAATAGTTAGGAAAACCAAGATCCAACCCTAAGTAAGGTAGTTGCTAGGAGTGCCATAATGATACTACATTGTAACTGTAGCTGTTGTAACACAGAGGTTGCGGTTAACTGTTTCTGCCTCATTGTGATGCTGTGTTAATTTGTTTGAGCCTAAGCTGATGTTTTTGTGCGTCTGGCATCGTTTGCTGTGCTGCGCAGCATTGGATAGCAGAGGCAGTGTAAGACTTAGCTTTATGAGTTCTTCTGATTTAGACATCTTAAGATGAAACACTGCTGAGCGTGCATAAGTTGAAGTGCAAACTCCTACCTGGGGAAAGTTCAGAGAAGGTTGAATGATTCGCATCATCAAGGCTTGTTTCAGTTGAACTCTTGGGGAGGCATTCATGCCTGTGAAGAGAGGCTATGCAGCTATGTTTAGAATTTCTCTTGCAGCAGCCTAATAAAATTATTCTTACTAAATAATATATTAAATACTTCAGAAATAATTTGGGTGCTGTTTGGCACAGAATTTGTATAAGGATGTGCATGTAATGTTTGAAAAGAATGATGAATTAGCATCAACACTTACAGATGTGCCAACATCTTATGTGTAAAAAATGTCATAAAAGATATATTGAATTTCTGTTTCTGATGCAATGTAGAAGTGCTTTATTACATCCTTATAGATAAAGTCATTGTGGCAGTGCTATAGCAGTGCTAAATAACACTCTGAAAAGTCCAAGATGGGTAGTGCTGTGTGTAGCAAACTGACGTTTGCTTTTCTTTAGATGTTTCTCATAGTTGGGTTCTCAGTTGAAGGCACGATGCACTGTTTTCAAACTGTCTGCTTGGAAGTAGGCTTGTCTCTGTCAACTGCAATTAAAATTAGCTAGGAGGTTCAGCTCTGCAGGTAAAGGGGAGGTATAGACAGCTTAATAACAGACAACCCTGAAATTGCTAGAAGTCTGAACTAGTTCCTGAACAAAAATGTGCTTTGTTCTGCTGGGCACTTTGCTCACTGGATAATTTCTACAGCGTGTAAATAAGTTGCAGTAGACATTTCATGATCATTGTAAATTACAGCGGTAATGGTAGGGCAATCCAAGGATATTAAAACACGGGAGGGAGTGCTCAGTGGGTTCATGCAGATGTTTAGGGGTTTAACTAATACTTGATGCAGAGCCAAATCCCTCCTGTATTTGCCTTGCCCAGAAACCTGTGTGCTCCCCCAGGAGTTCTCTGCTAGATTCTTTTGTTTCCTTTCTGAGGTTCTGGCAGCCAGAGTGGTTGGATTCCTTTGTGTGCCCAAGAAAAAACTGTAATGTTGCCAAGCTCTTGACAGTTGTAACATCACCTTCAGCTGCACTAATTGTTACTATCCGAGAGCTGAACTGGTCTCTTAAATTGCTGTGAGACTAAGTGCCACATCAGGAGTGCCTATTAATGAAGACAATAGAAAACAGCAGAGAAAGATGAAGGTCATACTCTTTTAACAGGTCTAAGTTGTAAAGATACATAGCTCTCAGATTTGAAACAACTCTCACTTTTCTGAATATTTTATTTCATTTTCTGAAGCCACACATGAAATCAGGAGCAAACCTCAGCTCTGTGATGAGTGCCTGTCCTCTAAACACTGTAGCTATCAGGAGCTTCCCATAAGAAGTCAAATGGTAATTCACTCATGCATAGCTAAGAGCGAAATCGAGTCTTCTATTTATTGAGACTGGAGAGCCTTGCAGTACCTTAGAGTACATCCACCTAACATTCTATTTCTTTAGGTGCCACACCTCTGGCCACTTGTGATTAAAAACAAACTTTGTGCAACTGTGCTCTAGGATGAGGATGTTCTCCTGAAGCAGGCAACATGAGAAACTAAACTAATGCCCTAAATAAACATAGTCAACATTTTCAGATTTTAATTCCAATTTTAGTGTTAAACCACAAAATTGTTTTTTTTTTGTTTTGTTTTGTTTTTGTTTTTTGGTCACATAATATGCAAATGTCATTTCAAAACTTTAAAAAGCATTGTTGGGATTTTGGAAAGCACCAGCAGTGTTTTCTTGTGGAGTGCTGATAACATATTGATACTGACATAAAAACAGGTAAAAAGAACAATGCAAAGACCTTCTGTCCCGCTGCTCCTTGCTGCAGAATTTGATCCTGGAGGCTGGTGCTAGGCTATCTTAGACACAGATACCACTGGCTGCTTGTATTTGTGTTCTTCTAGGTGGTTGTCCAAAGCCCCAGGTTTGTTTACCCAGCTTGAATGGTGAATGAAAGCTTTAAAACAACTTTGTCCAGTGAATGCTTGCCAATTACTCTTTAGCCCCAGTACAGCGTGTCACAAGTGGAGGAATAAGCAGTGTATGGTGACGTACAGAACTGTGCCCCTGTGCTCAGCGCTCCTGCTGACCAGCTACTGCACAGGTGGTGGGCAGCTGGTGTGGAGGGAACCTACAAAAGCTGTGTCAACTTTTGCCACTTGGCATTTCTAGTACTGTACCCTGTTACAGCTATACACATATATTCAGTTACCCTCCCTCTCCTTTCTAGAATTTAGTTTGGGCTTCTGCCTTTAGTCCAAGCACACTGATTTACTTGGTTTGTCAGAGGCCAGATCTCTGTGGTTTTAGGCTGGGAGGCTTGGTGAGTAAGCCAGGATTTTTAAGAAGAGTGGGTAATGACCTTTTAATAAAGTTCTTGATTTATGTGTTGATAGCTATGCAATTAAATATTTTTGTCTTAATGGAAATTGAGGCCTTCTCCTAATTGAGAAATCCTCCTAATTAGTGAGTCTGGTTTGCAGCTCCCATAGGATCTCTATAAATACATCACACGTAGCTGTGTCTGACTGATCCTTCACAGCTATGTTATTTACTTTGCCTTCCAGGTGTCCGCAAATATGGTAAAGATTTTCAAGCTATTGCAGATGTAATTGGCAACAAGACTGTTGGCCAAGTGAAGAACTTCTTTGTAAACTACAGGCGTCGGTTTAACTTAGAGGAGGTATTGCAGGAATGGGAAGCGGAACAAGGAACCCTGGCTTCTAATGGTGATGCTTCTGCTTTAGGGGAGGACACAAAAAATACTTCTAATGTGCCATCAGGAAAGAGCACTGATGAAGAAGATGAGGTGTGTTTTGTGTACCAGATATAAGTAAGCATGGGTTGAGGAACAGCATTTTATTTAGTGATGTAATGTAAGGTTAACTGGTGTGGAGTGGCAAACCACATTCTAAAGAATGATGATAAGCTTGCATAGAACTTCAGCCAATGTCGTTAACCCGCTGGGAACAGGACCGCACCTTTCATAGTGACGATCACGTTACTGTTTTATTGTTAAAATACAGTTCTTGTTCTAGAAAGAAGACTCTTGCTTCATAGATATTTTTAGTTCTGCCGTCTGTAATATTTTGGTTGGCGATTTCTTTTCAGTAACTTCTCAGTTTTTCGGTTTTGTTTTTTAAATGCTGTTTCCTGTGTAGTGGACAGTGGCAACCCCATCGGCACTGCGTTCCGGCTGGGATGGCTCTTCACGCGATCTTGTCTTTGTCCTTTGTGCAGGCGCAAAGCACTCCGAGCACTCAGTGTTTAGGCCCTTCACCTCCAGCGCAGGCATCTGCTCCAGCTCCTACCGCTCCCTTGGCAACTTTAAATCAGCCACCCCCGTTACTTCGTCCAGCGCTTCCTGCAGCTCCTGCTCTCCACCGTCAGCCTCCGCCACTCCAACAACAGGCGCGATTTATTCAGCCAAGGCCCACTCTCAATCAGCCTCCCCCACCGCTCATCCGCCCAGCTAATTCCATGCCTCCCCGTCTGAACCCAAGGCCGGTGCTGACCACCGTTAGCGGCCAGCAGCCACCCTCACTGATTGGAATTCAGACAGAATCCCAGTCCACTCTGCACTGAAGAAATAAGGCAGAATTATGCTAACTCCTACATCTGAAAGACTGCATCAAGGTACTTTTCCTTTTCCAAATAAAGAAGCAGAAAAAAAGCGAGCCTTCACAGGTAGCAGACCAGTCTTACAGAGGAGCAAGGTAATAACCAGTACTGGAACCACGTGAATGACCACCTGTGTAAAAATATTTTTTGTAGAAGACTTGTACAGAAGAACAATGCCTACAATACACAGCCCTCCTCTATGTGAATAACTGTCGAAGGAAGCTAAATTCATACATGAGTCGATTTTCAACACACCAGGATTTCATTTAACTGATTTTTTTACTCTATTTATTTTATTATGATTCTTTGTAGTCGAGCATCTAACTACAAGAAAGTAGGCTGGCAAATCTAGGAATAAGTAATATTGTAGGAGACTTAAATGTAGTGGTTTTCTGTGTGTAATTTTTATTTTATTTTTTACTTTTTAGTGGAGAAAAAAAAAATAAACCTAATGGCCTTAGGTTCAGAATTTTTGGCCCTGCTTAGATATCTGTAGAAGCATTTCTTGCAATTGTAAAAGGTAGATGATTCTTCTCTTAATGTTTTTTCCCAGAATGTTTTTTCTTGTTTAAAAAAGGTACTTTCTTATTGAATAGTCCTCCTCCAGTGTGTTATGAAAACTCAGTGAGCTATTGTACCAAACATACTAAACATCACATGTGTTCTAGTCATAGAAGCTGTCTGGAAACAGGAGTCCAGTTTCCTGCTGCACTCTCCCTTGTAGGCTGGGCTGGGGAGAGGCAGCAACTGCCAGCACCCAGGGGGATGACAGCAGAGGAACTGCTTAGCAAGAACCATACGTTTCATTAGTTCTTCTGCTGACCCTTCTAATCTAAGTACAGCAGAATTTCAGTCCTCTGAGAACATCTTGCTCACCGCTGGTATTCGCGAGATCATTGATATCTTGCCTAGGATGTATGATGGATGTACAGAGGCTGAGGGTGGTAGGAGAGTAACGTAGCAATAGGGCTCTCTGCTGCCTGCCTGCCCGGTGTTAAATGTCTGATTTCTGCTATTGCTGGCAGATCTGCGGGCTGGGTTTACGGCTATCATGGTTTGTTTTGTTTTATTCACTAGCAAAACCTGCATTTGGGTATCAATTATGGCTTCCCCATTTTAGGAGAATAAAAGATTGGGGTTTATTTTCCATGGTATTTACTACTACATTTTTCTTGTCTAAAACCCTGATTCATGCCCAGCAGTAGTTCTTTTGGTGGTTTGTTTTTAAAGCAAACGCCTCTCCCTTCCAAGTAAACCAGGCTTCAATTTTCAGTACCAGCATTTGAAACTATGATCTGAGTCAAGCTATTGAAAAACATTGCATTGCTAACTGCCATGCTGCTCTAGAAAATTATTTGTTTATACCTGGTGTTTAAAGTCCTTTTAAATCCATTGTGTTACTAGCTTGATTTGCCCATGACTCAGATGAAACTACATTTGAAAATGGAATGTGCTCTCCCTCATTCTTTCTGCAGATAATGTGGTGGTTTGACCACCAGTTAGCAGTTGGCTAAGACTTTTCATTTATGCAAAGGAAAGTTCTTACAGCACCAGATCCTATTACCTTTGTAAATCTAGTATTAGGGATTTATATTTGTGACCTGAATTGCAATTAAAGCGTTCACCTTTATGGTTAAGTTCACAAATATTTTCAGATCAAACTCAATTTTCTTTCCGTACAGCTTTCAGCAGTGCACTGGTGTCTCATACAAGGGGTCCTTCTTAGGAATTTTCTTCTGCATCAGAGTAGGTTCTTAGCCACTATGTGAGCATCAGATGACCTCTCTCCCGAGAAAAGCAGCACTGTAACAAAGTGCTGAGGAACGTGTGATCGCTGAATCGTTTGTTCTGGAAGTCCTCAGTGTCCCTCAACAGCCATGTACGGATCTGGCTGCTCCCAGACGGGTTTTTAAAACTGATAGGAAATCCATTTCCACATCCATACGTATCTCAGTTGTTAGCAGGGATAGGGCACATCTCCAGTACTTGTCACTTTTCTTTTTTTTAAGCATTGAGTCTCCCAGGTGTGTGTATTGTACCTTTGCTAATTTTTGTCTTGTCTCGTCAATAGACTTCAGTATGCAGAATGTTGGGTGTTGCAGTAGAGTTGGCCGCCACCAACTGCTATAAAACTGTTCAGTACATTGTAATTCAGTTTAATCTTGTTTAAATATTCTATAACTGGGCAAAGGTGCTGTATTTGAAGGGGGTGGGAGGGGCAGAGATGGGTAGTATTTCTTCCTTTACAAACACTGTAGCACACAGTAGGGATTTCCTAGCGTTTGTAGTACTAAATAAGTATGTACATAGCAAAATGTCTTTATTGTGTGCTTTGCAGAGTATGTGCATACAGTTTGCACGTCCTGTTTTTGGGGGTAGGGTTTGTTTTAAGCAGTGTTTGCCTGGAGAGTGATATGCTTGCTGCTTAATCAAAGGATTAAAGTTTCAAAGAAATCTGTGTCTTCTATTTTTATGTACCTGGTAATAGTCTAATATGTTAGGGCCCTTATACTGTGATTCTCTTCTAAATTCATTTCTATTTTTTTAAGAATTAGAAATAAAATTATACAATGGTGTTGATTTCGGTGGGGAATTTCTTTTGCCATATCTCGTCTCCTGTTTTTGTAATGTAGTAATGAACTCTGACTTCAAGGTTGGCTTAATTTTGTCACTTTAAAAAATGTAAAATGTTTGCACACTAAAGTTCAGCTGAGAACGTGTATCCGACATTGTTCAAAGCTAATGTAACTCTACAGCTTTTTGTACAGTTTATTTTAGTTAATAAAGCAAAACGGTACTAAAACTGACAGGTTCTACAACTGCAAGGCATAATTTGAACTACGTCGTCTGAGGAACAGCGCTTGCAAAGTATGGATGTACAAAAATATCAGATCTAATTGTTGCACTTTAAATCAGAATGGGTATGGAGTGAAGCAGGTATTCCTGCATTAATAAAATCAATCACTAAACATTGCACGTCATCGTACAGCAGTTTAATTTCTTACACAGTTGACGATGAGTGAAAGGAATTACAGTGACTTGTGTTCTTAAGTTTTGGTTTTTGTCTTTATTCTTCTTCTGGAAAGTTCACAGCCCCCAGCAACCATGAGGCTGTAGCTTACCTAGGGGGGAGCCTGAGTAGGAATCGCACGGGATTACGAAGAGAAGAGGATGAAGGTACTAGAAAAGGGCCAAGCCTCTTGCTGATAAAGGAAGAGAATGGGCTGAAGTGAGAACTGTTGTTTGGCAGGAATGGTGTCAGAGAGCAAAGTCAGGTCCAAGAGGAACTTCTTGAGAGGATGTAGATCAATTTGTGCTTCCAAACGAAAAGGAAATGGAATAATCAGCTGTCACAGCTACGCTGCAAAATGGGGCACTGTAAAATATGCTAAATAGAACTGGAGCATTGTAATACACGTGATGGGCTTCCAGCTCTTTCCAGGGTTAAAGCAGAAAAACCTGTTTTCCTTTCTCGGGGTGCACTGGAAGCTGGCATGGGCATGGCAGAGATCTGCTCTGAGAACAGGGAGTTCTATGTGAAGTACAGAAGAAAAATATAGTCCTTAATACCTCTTAATGCCCAATTACAGCCTAACACAACTTAAATTCTAGCTGAGCTACTGGTGAATAAGGGAGAAAGAGTCTATACTCAGGTGGGAAGAGAAGGACACTAGAGAGAGCAGTATCCATGCTACTTACAAGCAACTGGCCCCACTGTAATAACAGACATCCTAAAATAGGTACTGAAGTAAGACCTTAAATAAATCTGCTTACGTGTAGTTCTGTATACCAAAAGAACCGGGCACCAAAACTATTTTAGCCTTGCTGCTACTGGTGCAGAAGGCTCCTTTCGGGCTAACACCCACGTAACCCCGAGACGAGGATCTCCGTGCACCCTGCTGCTTTGTTCTCCAGAACTGCGGTGGCAGCAAGGTCCGACCCGCTGCTCGGTGGCCCCTCGGCACACCTTGCGGTACCTGGAAGAGGCGCTCCGGGGGAGCTGAAACGTCTGTCGGTAGGATGGAGATCAGGAGCGCCACCCCACCTGCATAGGATCTATTCCTTCACCGCTATACGCGTTTACTTACAGCAACGTGACGCCTGTTGTTCCGAGCGGTGCTCCCGTGCACTTCCCAGACAGGCGGAACCCCGAGTAACCGGGGCGCTCCTAAAGATAATAACAGCGATACGCTTTATTTCGGCAGGAGGGGGGAGGAGCCGACCCGTCCCGCCATCCCCCACCGTTCCGCCTCCCCAGCTCCAGCCGCAGCCGCGCTACCCCGCCCCGGGCCGCCCCGCAACCCCCGCCGCCTCGGGCTCTCCCCGCCCCGGGGTTGCCATGAAACCGAAAGCGGCGGCGCTTGCGCTTCCTCGCCCGCGCTGCTCCCCGCTCGGAGCCGCGCCCCGCACCTCCCCCCGCCGCCCCGGTCCGGCGTGCGGCGAGCTCCGGCTCAGGTGCGGCGGGGAGGCGGGCCGGGCCCGGCAGGTGCCGCGGGGGGCGAAGGCGGCGCGGGGCGCGGGGCCGGGAGGCGCGGGGGCGCAGCGCATCTCTCCGTGCCGCTCCTGGGAGCGGGATGCCCGCTGCGGTGGGTGGCGGATGCGGCCCGCGCGGAGCCCAGAGACGCCGCCCGGCTCGACGTGAAGCCAGCCCTGCTATAGCGCCGTAGAGGATGGGTGGTGGAAGGGTGGGTTTGGGAGCCTGTAAGGGGAGAAAGAGGTCAGGGCTGCCCCTGGAGGTAGCGGAGTCACCGCGCCTCGAGGTGTTCAGGAACTGAGGGACGCGGTTAGCGGGCGTGGTGGGGATGGGTTGGTCGATGGACTGGATGGTTCTTAGTGGTCTTTTCCGACCTTAACGATTCCGTGTGGTTCTGGTGTAATGAGCAAGTGGAGGGATGGGCAGAGACGTGATGTGGTTGTAGCTGTGGCGTGCAAAAATCATCTCTGGGTGCTGGGTGGGTGAATAAGTACTGCCTGCATTTTAGAAAAGTGTTTGGAAAGCAGGCAGATGCCTGGAAAAATGCATAAGCACACAAGACATATTGCATCATACGGAAATATGAAATGGAGCTGATGAAACTGTGCAGGTTTAATTCTTTAAGCATAAGAGAAAAGGATGAAGGTAATGGGCCCACATGTAGTCCAGGCCAGCTGTGTTCGATGTGGATAGGAGGGACTGTGCAGGAGGTGGTCTGCTTCCTTAGAATGAACATAAAGAAGTCTCTCACAACCAGGGTGGTGAGGCACTGGAACAGGCTGCCCAGAAAGGAAATAGATGAAGAGCAAGTCCCTGGAGATACTACAGATCAGTCTGAGCATCTGACTGAGTTGTAGATGTCCCTGTTCACTGCAGGGCAGTTGGACAGGATGACCTTCCAGGGTACCTTCCAACTCCAACAATTCCAGCACGGGTGCTGGAAGAAATAGCTGGAATTCAGCTTTTGCAGGAAGACAGCCTGCAGCAGTCTGGCGAACTTGTGAGCAGCTGGCAGGAAGCTTTGGCTCAAGGTGTTAACTGTGAGAGATAAGTAAAGACAGGAAGGAAGAAAAGAAAGCTTGTGGCTCTCACAGACACTGCAGGGGTGGTGGGAAGATGCACTGAAGCAGTAATTAGAGAGTTTGGAGAGAATGAGAAGTGACATCCAGAAGGGGACAAGGTTTTTAAACTGGAAAGCTTCTATTGGAAACTTTGATAAAAGGAATTTCCAACGAATGCAAAGAGCAGAAGCCACACAGCTCTTTATGTTACCCGCATACTTGCTAAACACTATATTGAAGACAGGAGCACAGTTCTTGCAAAGCCTTCAAAGTGGAGAGCTATGGGTCAGGTCAGAATCACAGAATGCTTTGGGTTGGAAGGGACCTCAAAACCCATCCAATTCCAAGCCCCTGCCATGGGCAGGAACACCTCCCACTGGATCAGGCCATCCATCCAACATGGTCTTGAATGTTTCCAAGGATGGGGCACCCGCAGCTTCTTTGGGCCTTGTTGAACTTCATGTTGTCCCCTTGTGAGTCCACCTTTCTGGAATGTCCAGGTCACTCTTGTTGGTGTTCTTCCCTTCAGTTTGCCAGCTGCACCACCAGCTTGGTGTCATCAGCAAAGATGTTAAATAGTAGTGGTCCTAAACAGATTAGACACTATTTGTTTCGTGCTGAACAGTTTTGGGTAACTTTGCCAAATCACTTCAGCGTGCAGCTACAGACTTGTTGGGTGCTTGATCTCCCAAGCTTTATTAGTGTCCTTTCTTCAAGTTAACCTGTAGGCCTGTGCCTTTTTTGATTCCTTTTCTGATCTTTTGATTATAAATGGGTAGGTAGATGTTATTTATCCTCAATTAATAGTAGGCTGTGAAGAAAGCATTTCTCTTTCTGGTTCTCCATGGAGTCTGTATGAATTAAAACATTTGTTGGGCCCTTAATCTTGAGAGTTCTGGTGATACCTGTGATCTTATAGGTATTCTCTTTTCTGGTCCTGCTCAAGTTTCTTGGCTTGTGACCATAAAGAGTTAATGTTCACACTGTTAGTCCCTCTGTTATCTGTGCTATTTGGGCTGTACACACAGTTGTTCCACCTCCTTCCCTCAGCCCAGGAAAGAGGCTAACCTCTTTACCCTGGTGTGTAGCAGCTCAGGAAGGTAAGGAAACTTGAGTCATGCACATCATTAATAAAAATGCAGCAAAAATTTCCATAGTCTCTACATCTCAGTTTTACAATAATTAAATAAGCGTGTGAGAAACTGTCAGCACCTCAAATTGCAGTGGTTTTAATATGGGACTGCCCACAGTGCTTCGTAGCTAAGTGCATTTGTGTGGGGAACTCTTAAAGAAATTTCTATTTGTCTTATGTTGACATTTGCAAATGGGGTTCTCTAAGGGCACGTATGCTGTTGTGTCCTTATTTTGCAGAAGATAATACTGAGAAGTTGTTATTACACAAAGCCACCAATGACTAAACAAACCTCAACGACAGAAACAATCTGCAAAGCAATTTTGCCTGAAGTGGTCACTCTGAGATGCATGAGGCATCAGAGGCAGCGTGTTGGTTTCAGGCACAGAGTTCTTGCCCTAAACCAACAATGAATCCATGTGCTTGGAACTGGAGTGTGGCCCTTACGAATATGAAAGCAAAATCTCAGGTTTCACTTCTTAATGTTATCCTAGAGACAGCGGGTATAAATGGTCACTGGATCATACATTCAATTGAATGTAACATGCAAGGCTATTAGGCACTATCTGTAATGAAAAAAAACTTCTCTGTTGGTTTGTTTCTTTGTCACTGACATCAAACCTCATGGCACTTTTTCCCAAAGGCATCACCAACATCCACCTCGGTGATGCTTGAGACACACCTTGAAGGCTAAAAGCCCAGTGATGTTGTTCACTGCTGGGAGCAATAAAGCTAAAACCGGTGCCAACAGCAGGAGGAAGGCTGAGTGTCACCCTAGGTGTGTTAACATCCTTTTTACATGCATCTTTCCTTTTACTGGGTCCTGTGAAAGCCCTGCCACCTGTTTGTAACTCTGTAAATCTCCAGTGTGTCATGTTTGATCTCATCAGGACTTCTTAAGAATGTGTCCGTTCCCCTTTCTCATTTTTAAGAAAATACAGTGATGATAATCTTCACTGTCATCACTTTCCCAGCAGCAAGGTCATGAAGTCACTGATACCAGTTGGTTTCTGACATACCAATTACCTCATCATAGGCTAGAAAATATGTGTCCATATATCATCAGATACATATGTGCATCTAAGCACAATCCACTGAGCTTATGAATTCCTGCAGTTGAGCTGAAGGGAATTTCTAACCTCTGGAATTACGAAGTGTCTGAGAAGAAATAGGTGGCCTGCCAAAATCTCCTGTGTCATGGTGAACATAGCAGAATTTGAGCTTATCCTAGTAATGCGGATGGATAACCATAGGGTATACTGGGAGATTTCTGTATCTGTGCTGATTAAATCATTCATTAAGATCAAGACATACAGTTGAGTGCATGGAAAATTAAACTGTTGTGCACTGAATAGGTATTAATGGATGCACCGACTGAAGTCAAACCAACTGATGTCCTAGATAGTGTGTGCCCTTGGGGTGGGGAAGGAGAGGTAACCTTTGAACCCAGTCCTGCAATATGTGTGGTCTGTACTATTTGTTAGGACATGTGAAGACTTCACTTTGGTTCTGGTACACTTCAAGAAGGAAAATGTAGTTGATTGTCTCACTGTCTACGCTTTCTTTTACTTTCTTTCAGTACCTTTGGTTTCTTAATGTGGTTCTTGTGTGTTTGTTTCTTTCCTTAAATGCTGCTCCTGGACATCTTTTCCATCATCCTGCTGTGCATGCTTTAAGCTTGATGATGCTCCTTGCTGGTTCCTCTTGCCAGGGTCTTCAGCACTGCACGTAGGGCTGCAGGAAATGGAGGGGTGCCCAAGAACAACAACCCCTTTCTACTCATCTGCTTTCTACTCATCTACTCACTCATGAGTGAGATTGTTTAAAATGAAGATCCTGCTCCTACTCAACTTCTCCATTTGGGGTTTTCCCCAAAGCTTCCCAGAAGCAGATGGTGCTTCCTGGAGTTGTGCTCACAGACACTGTATTCTCTGCAGTTCTGCCTCTTGACACTGGCTGGATGAGTGCTGCTTCCAGAGTTGATGGTTTTAAAGAGAACCCATGTTGGAATTATTTCGCTCATCCTTGTTGATCTATGCAGACATTGGTGTATTGTGCTTGATCAAGGCATATCCTAAGGATGTGAATTCATTGCAAGGACAAAAGACTATTTTCTGTTTTATAAGGTTTAGCCATAGAATTTATCTTAGGCTGTGTCTAGAAATGCAACTTGGATCAGTTTAATTGATCCCATGAAAAAGAAGCATGTCTTCAAATAGATGCCTTTCTCTCTGCCAGCACTGTACCATCTTCAGTGATGATTTGTCCCAGTGCTCTAGGGATGGTTCAGGAAAGCATGCAGTCTCCTGGGAGGGGAGACTGAGACTGAACAAGATTAGAAATGCTCCATGAGCAGGCTTAATTAAAGGAAAAAGGCTAAAGAGAGCCTGTGTGGCATTTGCTGCAAGACAGAATAGAAGCTTTTTTTTTCCAATACTTGTATTTTAAATAACAGGAGCACTGAAAATTATTGCTTATCTAGAAAATAAGATGCTTTACTTTGAGGGGAGGAAGGGAAATTGTTATTACTTGGTTTAATTAGGGGCTCATTTAACTGAACAAGCTGACCAATACTCAAGCTTTCTTTGCTAACATACCGAACAAAGGAAGAAGAGACCAGGAAGCCAGGGAGGGAGCAGAGCAGAGCAGAAGGAAGGAGTGGGATTAGAGATGGAGCCTGTGGCACTGCCGGAAGGGATGCATGTATTGGTCCAGGGAAACAAGGTTGGTGTCCACAGAGACTGCAGGGATGGAGGCTGCCAGGAGTCCTGTGCAAGTACTTAACTTC